TTTAGATCCACTGCTTGTTTTAATCCTTCCGCTTTGTCTTCCCACCATTTTGACTTCATGTTCAGAGTGTAGTTTTAAAGTTCGCTACGTGCTCTGGAAAGGCGACCGGTGGTCGCACGAGTCTTACGTTGTAGTCCTTGTGCTTTGGCCTCATTCATTTCATGAAGCAGTGCCTTTAGCTTAGCATACTCCTCGTTGAACCAATCCTGGTATGTCCGTTCTGGCTTTCCAAGAATTTTCTCCGCAGTCTCATACACAGTTGTCTTCAGAATCTCCCACTCCTTCTCAAGACCAGCATCCTCATTTGCTGTGTAGTCCAGGTTCTTTCCCATCCTCTCCTCAAACTCCTGTTGGCACTTGGGGTTCCTTAGTCTTCTCGCGTTCCGCTTAGGTGGAGGCTTTCCTTGGGTTCTCCTTCTTGACGGTCTCACCCTTAGAGCTAATTTTGACCGGACCAGATTGTGGTCTGTTGCGCAGTCAGCACCTCTCAATACCCTACTGTCAAGGACATCGTGCAGGTTCTAGTGATCACATAATCGGGACCTCGGATGCGACCTCGGGTGCATCCAAGTAGTTTGATGATGAGGCTTGTGTTTGAAGACAGTGTTTGTGATGACAAGCCTGTATTCGGAGCAGAACTCCATTAGGAGTTCACCGTTGGAATTACATTTGCCGTTGCCATATATCCCTTCAACATCAGGCCAGTTTTCGGCTTCTGTCCCAACTCGAGCGTTAAAATCACCAGCAATTATCAGCTTATCGGTGTTTGGGACATTCTTGATTGTGTCTCTCAGATCACTATAGAACTCCTCTTTGGTCTCATCAGGGTTTGTCAAAGTCGGTACATATTCAATCACAATGGTCACGGAACATCTCTTTAGCAGTGGAAATCTCATAATCATGATTCTATCAGAGATCGGTGTTTGATCCTGCTCAAGGCTCTGGGCTATGGCATTTTCCATAGCAAACCCCACTCCAGATTCCCTTCTCTCATTTACGTCCTTTCCTCTCCAGAAGAATGTGTAACCATCTTCTACGATGCTGTCATACTCTGGCAGCCGAGTTTTACAAAGAGCAGCAATATCAATATTATATCTACTGAGCTCCATAGCAACTAATGCTGCTTGTCGTTCTGGTCTTTTTGAGCCTTCTCTGTCCATCAAAGTTCTAACATTCTATTCAGCTATACTCAGACGCTTCCTGTTGTTACCTTGAACTCCTATCTTACTTCTCACTGGGTGCCAGAGAGGGAGCAACCTTGCGCAAACCTTGTTGACCCGGGCGACGTTCGAGCCGGTATTAGAGTTAGTCATCTGTGCCATTTCCATAAATCTGCTTGCGAAGATTTTTAGTGGCTCCTGGCTTTCGCAACACCAGGGACATTCTCTCGGCAGGTAGGAAAGGTTATCCAGCGGGCACGAACAGGTCGAGACATGCTAGTATTTCCACCCTGCTGCAGCAGCTGGCCGGAAAATAAGGCTATCACCACAGTACAATTGTGACTCCTGCACTTGGGACACAAGATGTACGTTTACACATTGTATGGATTGTATTGTAGAGTCACCAGTCTCTCAAACCTAAATAGGTTGTCTTCTCTTTCACGCATGCACGTGGCTGCCAACAAAAATGAAAGCTCCAACTGTAACTTGTGTGTAGAGCTATTTGTAAAAGTAGCAGCAATCCATAAAATTGATATTCATGATAATACCCATCACTTACTTTACAATGCATTTGTAAATAAAGGTAAAGTTTGTCTTCTTTATTTTTGCTAGTATATATTTTGATGAAAAAAAGGTCAGGCTATGTTTTATTTCGCATGTTTTTGTAGTTTGTACACTTTGGCTCCCGTTGGGTCCAGATCATGTTGATCTCATTGCATCGTTGAATAATCTTGGTTTGTTTGGTGTATGAATTCACTGGAGAATATGACAAAGCTATGGAGTTTCACCAAAAGGCTTTGGAAACTGCACAAAAATCTCTAGGTCCAGATAAAGTTGAAGTTGCAGACTCTTTAAATGCACTTGGATTGGTGTGTTATATACTGAAAATTATGACAAAGCTAAAGAATATATTGAAAAAGCACTGAAAATTTGTAGAAGTATATTTGGTCAAGATCATGCCAATGTTACCGCATCTTTGCACAATATTGGCTTGGTGTACGAAAATATTGGAAAGTACGAAAAAGCTAAAGAGTTGCATGAAAACGCATAAGAAACTCGAGAAAAAACTTTAGGTTTTCATCATGTCGACGTTGCTGCGTCCTTGCGTAATGTTAAAGCAAAAGAGTGTCATGAAAGAGCACTGAAGATTGAACAAAAAATCATTTCCTTCGGTAAAGTTTGATGTTTGTGCATCTTTTAAATATAATCGAGACATTGAAAAACTTGATAAAGCGAAAGAACGATGTAAAAATTACTAAAGAATTCTAATCAAATTATATGGTCGAGATCTTTGGTGGAACAAAATCGATAATTGGAGAATGTCATATTGAAATATGCATGTCTTTCCGTGTGAAGTTCTTTTAAAATCAATTATTCCCCTGATTATAGCAGGCATATGTTCATAAATTTGTCGCAGAATGTTCATTGTATATTTTGTAAAGAATAGAATAGTAGCTCACGTTAAAGATTACAATTGGTTAACTACAGAGGAAAAAATAATGTAATATAATCTTTTGAGTACTTGAAATTCTTTAGTACTAAACAGAGTTCTAATCCTTCATTTATCATTTTCCAAGATAAAGTTTGCATTTAGAAACATATAAGTGTGCAAGGGAAATAACTATTGAATTCCTTTCATCAGCTGAATTAATGCCTACGCTTTAGATGCACAAAAAACAAAGACTATAAGTTTTTCTTAATTGCGATGGAAGTAAACGTCTACATTCAGTACCGTAAGCCCCTGAAAGATTAAATCTCAGTAGCTATTTCCTTTTTTTCTCTTAAAAAGGATATAGAGCCTTTATTAAAGTGAGTAAAAACACATATTTTTTTAAAATTGAGCCTATAAATGGGTACGTTACAACCAACAGTTCAGTTTTAACTTTTGATGAAGTTCCAGGGCTCCACACAAATAACCAGGTATTTCTGATGCTTTCTGTTCGATACAGTTGTTCATAGGAATAAAAACACTCTCTGTCTGGGTGAGATGGTCTCGTTATAAGCAAAGAGCTGATATAATTCTCTGACTAAGCGACTAAAAGCTGTTGTTTTTATTTTGCTCTAGTCGTATTATTTTATTCTTGAAGGTTTGGCTATAACTTCTTTTTCTTACTGGTGTGAAAGGTAATTATTTCCCAAATCAATAGAGCAACAAAGTGACTAAATAAATGTTCAATTGAATATTTAACGTACTGTTTTTCAAGTTCTACCTGCCTACAATAATTTTTTCTTCTTGTCTCGATCAAAACTTTCAAAAATGACTTAATCGCTCATAAAAGTTAGCAACGTGACAAACCTTGCCTAAAAATGATTTTTTGCCTTTTAAACATGCAATTCTTCGGCAAAACACCATTTTATGTAAAAAATCTTGGCGATTAAAAAAACCAAAACATGTTTTTGCACATGTTTCATTCACTTTTAATTTAAATACTTTGAAAATCACCTGCCTTTATGTAATAGGTAAAAGTGTCGTCTCCTAATTTAAAGCAAGTGCTGCAAACCAAAATAAGAACTTCGTATGAAGAATAGCGTTTTGCAAAAAGCAATAAAATTTAGCTATTAATTACGTGTGTGTAGTTATCTTTACAAGCAATATGCGCCATGTAGTGTTGTTATTAACTCTTGCAGCTACGTTGTTCACAAGAAAACCTGACAATTTCGAGAGAGCCTCCTTCTAATCATGATATTAATTTTGATAAAGTGGCTCCATGCTATTTTATTTGATAAAGTAGCTAAATGATAAACAAGATCTTTGCTTCAAAAACATTTTGATTACTCGTTCTATAGAAAATTTGATTTTAAAGCTATTAATTTCATACAAAAAATATTTTTCTTGCCAACGCCATTAAAAGACGGTAGCTACTTATACCATTTTGTCCACTTCCTTTTTCTTTGTTTCATCGTATGCCCTCTCTCAATAAAAATAAATCATTAAGAATGCTGATTTCCCCCCGTATGACATCTCAGTGCAGAAAATAAAAATATAAATTTAGAAGTAGCTGAAAAATTTATTTAATGCACGCGGTTGCTTGTAAAAATATATTAACCAATCCTCGAAAGGTAGGCTTATGGTTATAAGCAACTAGGAATATCCATTTCTCATTAGTTAACAGTGTAAAATTCGAAAGTTATATAAATTTGGTCTTACATAATTCTTTTTATACCAAGATTTGACGAGCATTACTGTAACCTTGATTTTTGTTTTAAATGCCATAGCAGATATATATATATTTTGACTTGTTTTTCATGCTGTATGCAATGCTATTTTGTCGTGTGTCCTTTGTAAATTAACACTTTGATAAGAGACTTTTATAGTTGCCTTTAAAAGCGAACTCCTTCTCTACGAAGCATTTACATGCGATAAACTGGAATCGGTAACGAGTAACGAGTGATCTGTTGTTGTTTGAAAATTAGAATCACGTGACTAGCGTTGTGCTCACTGTGCTAGTGACAACATGGCTCATTGGGAAAAAATTCTGCTTCAATTGCTGCTCTCAAATGGGCATTGGTCAATGAAAGTGCAACCGAACACAGTATTTTATCAAAATGTTAAGCGTCATTCTGTACTTTTTGCAATGTCTATCATCGTCATATTTTTATAAGCTCTTTCAACCGCGTCTCGAACAAGCTCTTACCATGTCGTTTTCTATTTATCAAATAAATCCAAAACTTCCTTATTCATGTGCGTTGTCTTTTTGACTTAAAAGCAGTAGAATTTTCATCTGTAATAAAAGCAATTTCTTCCTACGTTCATGTTCGTTCATGTTTAATCGGACGAAATCGACACAATGTGGCACATGTGCATGTCACAATATAGCTCATCAATAAGCAACTCGTCTCTAAATTTTCAATACTTTAATGATAAAGTAGACCACGATTTAAACAAATTAGAAGCTTTCAAGCCATGCTGTTAGGCACGCGTGTAATATTGTTTTCAAAATGTATTATCAATTAGGTGCAAACACTTATGTATATACTAAGTTATTATTATTATAAGTTCGAGTGGTTGTTAATATTTTCACAAAGCTGTTTTTATTTGGAAATCACTTTTTTAAACTCATTACAAGCGTCAAGTTCCGGTTTGGGAAAGGGCAATTCAGAGTCCGAAATGATTGAATACAAGGTTAAACTGTTTTTAGCCCTCGTCTGCCGGGGATTGCCTTTCCATTTGCAATAAATATTAAACAAATTTAATATATTCCCCACTTTAGACAAATTTTAACATATGCCTTTTTCTATTAATACAGAAAACAGCTTTGTGAGTTTGCTTTTAGTAAAAGTGTGGTGAAACCAGAAAGAAGTAATAAAAATATTACATGTTTAGATGCGAATATCTACGTTTCTCTTACTACCATTGTATCTTATTTTTGTTGTCGTAAAAGGTGTTAAGGTTTGTTTTATTGCGTTTTTTTTTATACGCAAGGTTAAAGATAATTTGCTTTTTTGTTTAGTTGCTTTAGTAGCTCGAAGTTTAAGATGCATAAGTTAAAAAGCTTTTCTTGAAAAAATCTCTATACGCTTTTACTGTTACTCATTTTGATAGTGTAGTGGCACATTCACAAAGTTGTCGTGATAAATATTGACTTCATATGAACAAAATAAGCGTGATTGTAATTCTACACGCGAGCGCGAAATATTTAAGCGAGAAACTTTCAAGAAAAACTCTTTTTGCGGCTCAATGTGCGCTATCTCCATGACTTCGCCGTTTTGTTTGTTTTGTCAGTCGTGTTTGCTGACACCTGATCGTACCAACTCACTGAATTACTACCCCCACTAATACTCTTACGTCTTCCTGTTGTCAAAATCCCATTTGGTTCAATTTGAGCATCGTTTGTTTCGTAAATAGGCGACAATGCCCGTTTGCCTATAGTTGGGTTACGGCCATTATAAGAACGAGATCGCGATAGAGTTGGACTTTGAATTATTTTGTTATCAATTGCATTCCTTCCTATTGGAAGGCTTGCAATTTTAAAATTAGTCCGATGACTATAGATACGAGGTATATTGTTATATTGAACACTTGTGTGTGATGTCGCAAATCTCTCCTGTGTGTCTTTGCTCAATTTTGGGTTTGTAGAAGTTGAACTGAACCGTGTGCGTGTACTATTACTTAAAGAAAGCAACTTTTTCTTCGATAACGGCGTCAAAACCTTGACAGTAATTATTAATCGCTTTGCCATTTGCATAAGAGCACTCACATCATTGACACTCATCGCACGAACATCCACTTTGTTAACGCGAATTATTTCATCTCCGACTCGTAGCAATTCAAAATTATCAACATCTGTTCCCAGTATAAGTCTTGATACAAAAACGCCGTCTCTTCTACTCCAGCCATCACCTTGTCTTATCAAAAATCCCAGTGACTCCCCAGGTTTATGATGGAGTTCAATAGTTCGATGTAGAAATGTTCCCTGCTTTGAGCAGATCTCTTTCACTCCTAAAACACGACGAAATGAATTAGGAACCAACTTTACAGATAGCATCGACTGGGTATCGCTTTCTGTATCGGGATTTTTGATATCTTGAGCATTTCGTAACGTAAAGAAATCATCTTGTTGCTCAGCGTCTTTCATTCTCAGGAACTCTTCTTGTGAAAGGCTGCTGAATCGTCTAATATGCTCAACTAACTGATCATCGTCGGATGAACGAGTTTTAGTTTTACTTTGTCTATTATTCGCACGACTTCCATTCATAAACGATTTTCTTGGGCTTTGATCACGATGCTGTAACGCCATACTCATCTTGCCACAATATGACTTCACAAATAATATTTTGTGGCAGATAATTATACATTATTCACATAGCCAATAGCGATATGCCATCAATGACAGGTGTATAAACAAACTAACTTTGCCACACATTTTATAATTTTACTTCCCACGTGCAACGTGGTCACAATGATTACATTATTAGTAAAATGACGTAAACTTTCTACTTCTTTTAAGATCCCAGGTTATTTATAGAAGCAAGACGCCCACGGTATTATATTCTTGGCAGGCAATTCAAGATATTTTTGTATCATTAAACCTAAATTCAAAAATGTTTCAAATTCAAATAAAAGACATTTAAGAATCAAGAGCAAGACTTTCGGTGAGTTCCATAAAATTGTGCAAAACAAAATGTGCTGTGTATCATGTAGAATATCTGTGTAATAGTTGATGGGCTGTGAAGAATAAGTTAAAATATTCAAATTTATTTTCTTGCTTCGAACACCGTGCTTTGAAGTCGATCATACTGGGGTACTTCACATAAGGTTTTTTGAAGCTCTAACAGATAATAAAACATCACAGCATAAAATATCCAAATATAAACTTCTTCATAAATCTATAAAACATTAATTAATTCGCTTACAATGCCGGCTTCCTTTGCCTGGGTACTATTCAATAGTCTACGAGTTTAATAAGCTGTTATAATTTATTTAAAATAACTAGCACTTTTAAGGACATACATAATATCTTAACAGACTTAAACTATTATTGCAATGTCCATATTTTTGTATTTTCGTTGGAGAGGTAATTGTCGTTGACGTTCTCTATGATAAGTCCTCTTTAAATACCATATACGTTACATTATGCACCTTTTCAAAACATCACACATATATTATTTAATTTTGTTTTGTCAGTTCCCGTATAGACGACTCTAAATCCACGATTTTTAATGTCTAGTGCAGCTAAAGACGTGAAAGTATAATATTTTATCGATTTAAACGAGAAAAGTGTTAAATATTGATTGTGCGATAAAAATAATATAAACATCTCTTTTTATCCAAGTTTCCAAGCGAGAGCCCTCAAGTTATTAATTCCTTATGTCAAAATTTGCTTATGGTTGTGTCTTCGTCGCATCCTCTGTATAAAACGATTAGATCATTGATCTGTTACATTTATTTTGTATGTAAAGACTAAAAAGATATTTCAGTGATTTCATTTGCATGAGAAAAAGTGTAAAAAAACTTTGCGGCAAGCTGCTTTTTCCAAAGTGAAATGAATAAATCATCGTTTACAATGATCAGAATAAATTACGACACAACGAAGTGTTGTTGATCGAGAAATATACACCTACATATGTAGGCGTATAATGATGACGTCTGTTTGTCTACGATCATTATATCATTAGCAATACAGTACACTTTTATAATGGAGTGAGGTAACGGATAGAAAAATTTTGCCTTGTAGATTACAGTGTTGAAACAAATATAAAATGGCTTGCGTGTACGGAGAGAAATTTCAAGTTTATATATACGGAACTATACCGATGAGACGATAGTAATATACCGATGAGACGAAAAATTACATTGAACTTACCTATATAAAGCCACGAAAAGTAAAATTTCTGTAGTATACATTTTCATATTTTTATTATGTTCGAACAACGTCATTCGAAATTTAAAAGCACAAATTTAGGTGATTTATAAAAGAAGAAAAATCATAAATCGACTCTATTGCATAATGTTGCTCACATTTATTGTAAAAACTCGTTTCTTAACTAGCTATAGTTTAAATATTAGCAAATTGTTTCTACAGCATATACATTCCAAATGAAATTTAAATTGCAAATAATATCATTTTTGATTGAAACGTAAAAACCAAAGAGTTTTATAGTTCAATAATTCAATTCATAAAAGATATTCTTGTTCAAGAGTTAGTACATTGGAGAAATTTTACAGCAATTCTTAAAGACTGTTGATATAGATAGTTAAATTTTATATATATCTTCTTGGGAATACACGTATCTTATACCAGTCTCGGTAAAAAATCTCACTTTTACTTCTACATACATTTATGAATTGGGTAATGTCGTTTTGTTCGTTTTGCAGTACTCAATTTTTGCCTTTAATGTATTTTCTGGATTTTTTTTAATTTTGTTTAAATTCAAAAAAATTAAAGGAAATTCTTAAAAATTCTTAAAAATTAGTTTTGTAGCAGTTAATTTTTGACTTTAATATGTTTTTTAGAGTTTTTTAAAAAAATTTTTCATGTCGGCGTGATATGTATAGCAAAATTAGTTTTCATTTCATGTACTTACCAGATTAAATTATAGATGTGGTACTAATTGAAAATACTAAGGTCCGTTTCAAACTTTGTATTTAAGGCCCGGTTCAAACGTCGCATTTTACATGCGCCGAATCAAATCTGAGTTTTAGTCGACTAAAATAGTTTTATGCGTAGTTTGATTCAGACGTCGAATTTAATAGTCGCATTTATTATAGTTATGCTTCCACTTTTTCATAGTTTATTCATTTTCTTGTACTAATTTTCTAAAATGGCGAACAGAAAAATGTTGAGTTTATGCATTTCAAATATGATTCGTGTTAATAGGAAAAGACGAATATTGATGCATGTTACAGCAAATAAACTATTAGAAACGAGACGGCAGCTTCTGCAAATTTCCCATGTTTTTCTACCGTTAACTGGTCAAAAAAATGCCTTCATACGTTGCCCTTCTTATCGATCATGTCGAAGACAAGATAGAAATTCCAGCTGGTGGAAGAAAGTTTGGAGTATTTATTCTGATTCAAAAAAACATTTCGTGTATCTCGAGGAAACTTTCCTTGTACATATAAATTTTTTTCACTTTAAACAAGTGTATTTTGTTAAACTTGTGCACGAAATACAAGGGCCATTACCATCACTCGCCGCCGCCATGTTTTTACAACTTCGCGCATGGCATTTAGCATGGAAATAATTGATTTCTGCTTAGAAATATCTTAAAATAAATTATGCATTAAATTCGGCTCATGTAAAATGCGACGTTTGAATCAACATCGAATTTCCGTCGAACATTCGACTAACTCAGTCGAATATGCGACTAAAGTCGCATTAAATTAACATCCGTCGAATTTAATTGATTCAAATGTCGCATTTTACATGCACATAATTCTCGCATTTGATTCGGCGCATGTAAAATGCGACGTTTGAACTGGGCCTTACATGCGCTGAATGCATTTAAAACAAAAGAAAATGCGATAAAATACCTCATTATCTTTTGTTTTAAATGCGTTCGGCTAATGTAAAATGCGACGTTTGAAACAGGTCTAAATAGATAATAATTTGTTATCTTCATTCTTCTGGGGCCACTGAATTCATCAGTTCTGCTAAAAACGGACAATTGTAATTCATCTATCTTCATGCATGGACTCATATCCGAAAAAAATAGAACGCTAATAGGTAATAGGTTGAATGATTATATATAGAGAGATTTCCATACAGATTTCTTTTAAAAGTTAAAGGCCTTCACAATCAACGTTTAAGTTTTTTTATAAACATGTTTAAGTACTTTAGTAAAGAAAAAGTTCAATTATAAATTGAGTCTTAGGCATGCGCTGATGATGACGATCTATGATGAGGATTGAAGCAAGAATGTTAATAGGGAGAAGAATGTCTATTGATACATTCAGCTGTACATGACTGATTTCTTTTCAAAGTGAATTAGCTTTCTAAATTTTTCTCTATGTAAATTTAGAAAGCTTTATAATTTTTTTCTTCTTTCATTTACTGTTTGATGCACCATGAACGAAAGCATAAATGAGCCTTGTGGCATACAAGGATTAAAACCCCCGTTATCTTATTCAATGTAGGAATAAAGTCTTCTCTGTACACGGTGTAAGAAGTGAGTCATTTTTCCTACAAAGTACTAGTTTTCTAAAAAAACTAAGTTAAGCCAATTCTGACTGGCGTTTGAATTTCTCGATAATTATAGTCTCGTCACTTCATCAAAAACCCCCTTGCACCAAACCCTCTGCACACTTTAGTGCTAGCCTAGTTTCAACACAGCTCTTAAACTCTTAAACTCGTTCTATCATACATTTCTTTCAATTCCCGTTGTACCGAACCAGTAGAGCCTCTTGCCTAAGGACCAACAGTCTTCAGTTGTTTATCACACATTCTACATTGCATATTAACATTTTCCTTCTCAATACTTGCTTTAAATAATATTGTTCTTAATATCTGCTCCAGAGCTTCAATAACAAATCACACATTTCCCTCTCTCAACTTAAACCATCCCCCATCTACAAGCAATCTCTTTTCTATAAAAAAAACTCTCTTCATTCAACTTTTCAGCCCGTTTCTTGAAATTTTTCTTTGTCTTCTACCTGCAATGTTTGTTTAACGGTCTTTAACATTGATTTGTTATTTTCTTCAACATATTTAAATAATCGATGTTCCCCTTTACTCACACAGCCTATCATCAGTGTATTTATTCATCTCCTCCTTTCTTTTTTTTTTCTTCTTATAAAGTTTAGCCCCATTTCATATTTTGAAATACTCGAATTCTTTTCCCTCCAATCCAAAGCCCTTTATCATTTGTGACTTCAATCCGAAATTCCGGCAGAGTATCTTATTCTTCTTATTCCCTAAACATTTATTGCCTTTATTATATTCTCTCCATACAGCTGCAATGCTGCTATATATCTTCTCTCTTCTTTCAGTTCAATTTGTTTAATGCAAGTTCCTTCCAACACAATTAAATATTAGCATCTATTTTTGTGTAACTCATACATTGTTTGGCCATTTGGAAAAAATTTCCTCGTAACTAACCTTTTTCTTTTCATTTAAATCCAAAACAAACATTTATCTATTCCAATGTATTATGTCTATATCCATGCACTTACAATATCTTTAGAAAAAACTTCCATCAATCAGTCAATCAATATTTTTTCTCCTGTTAGAATGACTGCAGACATTTCTCAAAATATTTTCAAATAGCAAAGAGCTAAATATATCTCACAAACCCTTTTGTGCTTTTAACTTTCACTAGTTGATAAGTGTCGAAAACAATAAATAATTTTCTTTAAACATTTACAATACAGGGAAAGAAATACGGTAGATGTAAAAGCAGTTATCCATACAAGCTATTTTGAAAAAACATCATTGTGCATTTAAAAGCAAATTACGTTTGATTTGGTTTTCGAAAGCATTACAAGAGTCTACATTTTTAATTGCTGATTTTAATGAGTTCCAAACTTTTGCTTGATTTGGTATGTTTTATATATATTTCGCGATATGTGTCAAACTGTTCAGTGCAATGGTTAATCACATTTTGCTTGTTTCTTAACCTGTATCCAATACTCTATCCTTTTGACAAATTAGTTAAAGGAGTCATTACCAACACAAATAGCAAAGGTTGCAACTTTCTCCTGGAAAATCCCTCCTCCCATTCTTACTTTACTTTTTTAGTTCATGTTAATGCCATGCTCCATTCCTTAGTAGGGACTATATATGGTCCGTTGAAACGTAGCATTTTACATGAGCCGAATACATTTAAAATAATAAGTAATGAGGAACTTTATCTCATTTGCTTTTGTTTTTAATGCAATTGGCTCGTGTAAAATGCTACGTTTGAAATGGGCCTAAGACTCACAATGTTGTAAGCCAAACTAAATGCTGGAAGTAACGTTACACTTATGTGTTTTCTGCGCATGCTCTTATTGCCGTCCTTTCCAACAAAATATTGGAATGCAACTTTTTTGAAGTATTGTCTAAAACGTAAGTATATTTGACTTTTTCATCGAATTCTTTTATGTTCAATAACAATTTCGATTTACAGCTAAATTTACAATTTTGAAATTATACTTTACAATTAATTTTTTTAATTTACAGCTATATTGCAGCTAGATTTGTCAATTATGACACTCAATTCAGGCCTTTCCAACAATAAATATACAAGACTACTATATTTATCTCTCGGAAGGGGGAATCTTGGCATAAACGGGTTCATGTCAGTGCGATAGACGGGCTTGCCCGGCATGCCGGGCCAAACATTGTACTAGTGCGCATGCTCATGAAATTCAATTTAGTAATTTTTGTAGATCTTTCTGATTACAAACATTTAAAATAGCTTTGAAGCACCCTTGTGCGTCGACATTTAGCACAGTAATGTACAGCAAAAGCAAGCCTAAGTCTTACAAATTTTACTGGCTAAGAAATAAGTCTGACTTCCGAGTGGAATTAAAAATGCGTAACACTGCATTTTTTTGTCTTATCGATACAAAAACCGACTTGACAATAATGAATAATCATTTGAACTGTAGTGCAGTTCTTTCCCAATTTATGTAACAAGTACGACTTTAACAAACATTACTGATTTTTATAACTTTTCAAATTTTCAACGGCAAAATTTGACTGAAAGTGGGTTTAGGAGGAAGGTATGTGAAATATATTGTTTTCCCGTTTCTGAAATTGCATGCTGCTCCAGATTAGCAAGAAGACCAGATTCCACAACCATAGATGAGTCATGCCTTTTCCCTTCTGCAAGAACATGTTTAAATGTTAGACTCTTGAATTTACTTGGCAAACATGCTTCATGTTACATATTTAAACATAAATGCAGAGGGGTAAGACAGCAAATATATATTAAATGTAACTTTAGATATACATTTTCTTATATACAGGACCTACTGAAGTGTAAATTAGCAAAGAGATTGATTGAAACTTCATAGCATTACGCCTGTTTTCCAATTCCACTTTTCGTAACGTATCGTATCAAAATGTAACATGGTGCATGCGTGCTTATGAATTCGGTGGTCAATGGGAACAAGCATGCTTGCGCCGTATTACGTTTTGCTACGATACAATACGATACGTGGCAAGTGGAAAACAGGCTTAAAATCGTTTATGACCGTTATAGATAATTCTTTGTGATTCTTTTGCGTGACAAATAGGTGCAATAGTTCCATCAATAAAACCAAACAATTTTTGAGAGCTACACATTTCCTTTAAATTCCATCGGCATAAATTTATAGGTTCACTGCACTGAGAATTGAGGGATTCTATTTTGTAACTCTGTGCCCATGTTCTCTATGAATAAACTACAGTAATTTGCTATGAATCATGCTTATCACTGCAAGGCTCTTTCCAAATTAAATCTATGTATCAAATCAAAAAGCGGCTAGGCTATGCAAGTCGCTTTAGACAAATACACAGTCCTTCGACCCCGTCATAAAATGAACCTTGTGGGAAAGTCCATCTATCTTGAAGATGTAACAGCTCACAAAGCAATTTTACATCGCTTTTTCCGCAGCGATATTCTGCCATGCATTCAAAAATCATCCCTGTTTCCTAAATTAAAACCCTCCAACGTGTTTATTGGGGGATTTGGGATTTTTTGAAAGGTGCAGATTCTGGAGAAGCCAAAACTCGTCTTTGTCTATTGCAACTTTTTCATAACTCCCCGAGAGAGCAAAACGAGTGAATTTAAACGATTCAATCAAAATGTCGCTCTCTGGCCTAAAAATGTAAAGTGTTTAAATTTTGCAGGAAAACCGTAGTCTGGAATGAGTCGTCTGGTTTTTCGATTTCGTCGTCATTGGTTTACGGCTTGTGGATCTCAAGGTCAATAATATAATCTATGCGTCACATCCTTCACGTTCTCGCCCACCTTTACTGTTTCTAACATTTTAACAATCAGCAGATGCTGCGCCATATAAAGTGTCTTCCTGTAGTCAATGCAGCTCACCACCCAGCGTTTTTTCTCCATATTAGCCTAGGAAAACACAATTGAACTTTGTCCCCTTTGATTATTTTGCATCCTTTTACTCATCATACAACAAGCTGCTCACCTCCAAGTTTTAATACAGCTTCTCAGCTAAAATCCCAGTTTGCACCTTCAACAGCAACAGCAAACATATGATTCCTTTATTTTCTTCAGTATATGCTCGCTATGTTGCTCCTTTGAAGTTCGTTCCCTGCAACACAAAAATCTCGTCAAATTCTGATGATTTTACAGTAGAACAATGTTGTGACACTTGCAATTCCACCAATTACAACAAATGAAAAAGTCAAATGATCGACACTTGAAAAAGCCACGAACCCCATCGCCATAATAAAGCTTGCATCGTGATAATATTAAATGTTGGCTATATTGTCTTTTACCATAACGGTTTGAGGATTGTATCGAAACTCTCCTTGTGAGATTCATCGGCAACAGTGAACTGTTTTCAAGTTTGACGGCTTTGTGCTGGCAGTTTTTTAAATTATCTATGTTGTTATGTAAAATGGAACACAATAAACAATGATAGAAAAATTTTGAAGTTCTATATTTTAGAATATAAGATCCTGCGCGTCGGTGTAAGTGGATTGCAAATGTCTGTAAAACTTGGCATAGTAATCGAACGTGGTGACATTTGTTGCAATTCATCATTGTGTGTACATAAATAAAACACTGCGATAAAATCTGAACTTTGCGAGGTCAGTAATAGCAGATGTTAAACATATCGATTTAGATCATAGCTATTTCTGAAGAATTCAATGGCTAAAAGTATCAACCCAATATAAGAATATTCTTTTCTGGCTACATAGGAAATGAGCTGTTGTGTCAGTGAGAAATGTAATCATTGGAAGATTGGTGAGCCCCGAGTACTGTTTTTCATTAGTAAGTTTGTGCAAATCTTCAAAAGTGATAGCAAACTCTATTTTTACATTTTGCTACTATATAATTGTCGCAACGTGCATGCTCCCACGATTACTTCACGTGTAAAAGAGTTCATCAAAACGAGAGGTTGTCATCCTTCAACCTGTAAAGAAAACGTTTAAAATGTAAATGTTTTCAACATGTTATTTTGTGCATTGTTGAATTGTCCATCATTCATTGCATAGGTATATAATAGTCACTTGAAGCCGAAAATTAGCGGAAAATAAAGCCAATTAACACCCTTTTCTTGCAGACACTGTTGCACCAATACCTCTACACATATTTTAAACAAGCAATACTAGTTGCGTTTTTCTATTGGCTCTATCAAGGATTTCTAATTAAAGAATTGACAGTTAATTGTTTAGACTGCTGTCAGCATTAGTCCGGTTCTGTTAACGGCAACTAGCATATGTTTTTATTAAAATACATCATTTAGCATTTTTGAATTCATATTCAAGAAGGCACAGTGATCGTCTGTTGTCTAAACTCAAGCCTTCATGCAGGATGAATCTGTTTGCATACCGCGTTCGTTTTTTCTTTGCTTTTGTATTGCAAGGTTAGTAATTAGAATAAAGTGAGCACATGTTTATCTAGACAAAAGACAAGACATATTATGAAACTCGTCTTGTTCACATCAAACTTCGATTTTCACTAGCGTTTAATTTTATTGCATACAGCATTGAAGCGTTAAACAGTGGAATATTTTAATTGCCAGCACTAGGCAAATTTAATGACATTTTATCTAAATTAAATATACCAAGTGTAATGCGCACAAGTATAACTGTGAATACATTTATTTCATTAGGTTTTTCAACCAAATAATTTTCTATAATTTGCCAGTCAATCATAGTGTAGGATAGTATCGGTTTTCTTCAGCATCGTCTGATAATTAGAGCTTGTGTAACTTACAAAATCATTACAGTGCTAAAAAAATTTGCCGTTATTTTTATTTATGCAGAGCTCGAAATGATTCTCTTATAAGAAATTCGCAATATAATTCTTAAATTCTAGTTATGAAAAAACAAATTCAGACTCAGTATTTAACTTGAAATCTGATAACTATTTTATATGAGAATGTTATTTATATTCAGTTGTATGAAAACATGCATTGCAGTAAATCTGGCATAGCAATCAAAGTTATGTAAATAAATTATAAAACTAAAATCATCGTGATCATTTTGAAATTGATATTTGACACGAAATGGAAAACTTTACTTGTTCAGTCATTTCCATAATGTGCGCCATAACTTTTCGCGTTCTAACATAGTATTAATAAAGAAATGGATATTTTAATGTAAGACCAGCACAGAACAAAACTATTTTGTTTTTTTTTATATGATTACCTTTATTATGCTCGACGACATTTAAAATATGGAACTTCTTAATTTTTTTCGAATAACTGTTAGAATTTCAAGGACTAGTATTTTTCATGTTTATTTCCTGCTGTCTGCGCTATTGAAGATAATATTTTGCTCGCCGTTTACGCTCTTGTAGCGTTTACAGTGTTTGTCATTAAACATAATTGCACATAATCAATGGTTGTCCTTCATAGACTACTTATGGTTCGATAATTGTCAAGTGTCAAGCACGTGCCTGTAGACTTGAAGTGTTTTTCTGCCCCTATTTTGTTCATCGCGAAGAAACTTCGGTTAAGTTTACACACGGCATTTGCGTCTAACATTTTATTTACCGATAGAAACGCTTACCTTGAAGTAAAAATATATTGGTAAAGTGCTTCACCTTATAGAGATGAAATAATATGTGTCAAAAGTTCGTATCATTAGTTTTTATCAACATAAGCTTGATGTCGCTAATAATACAAATTTTGAGAAAATTTCAAGTGCACACCTCGTTTGAATCTATAGGTAAAAAAGGGTTTATTAGCTATACTTTTTAACGGGAACTATGTGACTTATAATCATGTTTTCTTTGCTCCGAATAAAAAGAAGATATGCTCCTGGGTTAATTGACGAAAGCGGTTTGGCCCAAAGCCTTGTTGATGACACTTCTGCGCCAGAACTGCACCAGTTCAATATTAACAATGAAGTATCATTTATTATCTCAATCATACTGAAGATGGCATCATGAGATGTCAAAACATGTCTATTCTAAAAAAAGTCGTCGTGTATATTAAATGCGCATTAGCAATAGTGCTTTTACGAAATTATGGTAACAATGAAGTATGACATAAAATAATTTAAATCACTTACTGATTTGCTAAAACATTGAAAATTGGAGAGCCTAGTGTACATAGAATGAGTGCATCAATTACCCACACCATGGAAATGAAAAATGGTCATTATTTCTGCAGATGTATTTACGATATCAAAAAGTAGGCTAAAGTGTGTAATGTAACAATTTTATGATTAAATTATGCGCAAGTGTAATTTGATCGTGCAACATGATTCAAAACTCGACTTTTTATTTTGGACACTTAATATACGATGTTGGCTTCAAAACTAAGTTGTTATAAAAGCTGTATATCAATGAATAAGAAATAGAGTGCGCACAAAATAATGGAATTGTCCTAAGATTTTTATTTTTACTATTGATGTAGTTGAGCACAGTGGCGTAGCCAACTTGCATGCTTGACACTCGATTTTATGTAAATATTTAAATGCTCACACGATGTAAAAACAATAGATTTCTAAAGAAATCAATTATGCTAATGATTCATATTTACGGTGCTGTCTACGCAACTGGTTGAGCATATAATCGAAGTGCGCTTCTTTTTTACTTAAGCAATGATGTTGTAATAAAGGCAATGTACCACAAAAATGTACCGCAATCATACAATAAAAAATATCCAACTTATCTTTTTCAATTTCGCGTTTTGTTCATAAATTATAAGCCAATCACACAAGGAAATGTAATGATATGTGGTTTTAACAATGCAATATAAAAAACGTCAACTTTTGATAAATGAGTTTATTCACAAGTAGCTAGCCAGAAAATTTTTTCCTCTAAATAATTGCTATAAAAAGATTTTAAAAGTTGAGTTTTACCATGCAAAAAATAAACTCTAAACTGAATCTAAAGTATCAAAGTTTATTTGTTGTTTTAACTTATGTTTTAACGGCGAGCGGTACTTCTCATCGTTAACTATAAAAAACGCGTGGCTTTCATTTCAACTGTTAAATAACCCCAACCCGAAGCTCATCTAAAAATCCATTTATCACTTTCAATTATTTATGCTTTCCACCATTTTCATAGCGTCTTTGTCAGTTTGTTACTAATCCCTTTTAGGATTTTTACAAAGAAAAGACTCTTAAACAATAATGTGAACGTTGCAAAAGTGTGCGTTGCTTGTGAATCGTAAAAAATCACAAGTTATTGGTAAAATATATGTTTTTTTTGTCAGCGATTTATACAATGTGCACGACTGTATTGTGTTTCTTTCCTGAGGTAGTAGTTGATGCATATTTCATGTTGTAGTTTATGATAATTTGTTGAAACTTAGTTCATTGATAGTTGGCCAGTTTCTTCAGAATACATTAATTAAATGATTGCTGTTTTATATGAGCTTTGTGGAATGACATTATGACAATCGCAGTGCGCTTTGTTGTTTGTTAAACATTGTGGTTAAAGGTTTAGTATATATTCGGAGATACGCAAAAAGTCAGCTTTCCTTCGTCGTCAAATCTAGATAAATAATAATTTGCTTTAAGGTTTTCATTAAACGACAAGAATGCGACAGTTCTATTCACTAGCAGCATGATTGTGAAAACAGGAAACAATTTTAAAATATTTATGCGTTTGCCATACAGCTAACGAACGGCTTCCACTTTTTAATCCAATTATTTTTGTTTTTTTTAAACAGTAGCTACATATTGATGATTTGGAAATTGATTGAACAGTTTGAAATTTAAATAATTTCCAAATGAATTCACTTGTCTTTTAACTGCTTAGATAACGTAAACTACTTAATGACTCATTCAGCAATACGACTTTAATTCGTACAAACAACTTATAACAGATTAAGCTTAAGGAATATCAGACTAACAAATATCCATGTTTTATTCACTCATATTTCAGTTGCATTTCACTCACTTGTATGCATACAGTGCACGTACGCATACAAAATTTGATACCTCCATATAAATACAAACACGCGAATACAAAATCAAATACACGCATACAAAAGCAATAAACTCGAAAGTCTTGGAGAAAATATGAAAAGGTACAAACATCCAATGTTCGTTTGCTGCACTATTGTCATAAGGGGTTGGGGATTACATAGTATTTGTCTACAAAATACTCAAAGGACACGATTCTAACATTTTTAGAGAAGTATTATGGCATTTTCCTTTTTGTTTACAGTGTGACCAGATTTTGTAACTTTTGTAACTTGGGTGTGCCCAAGCTCACCACCGATTTTTGATAACAAATTATTTATATATGGTGACACTGGTCGTTTACTGCTATTATAGCTGAAAAATGCACATCTTTAAAGAAAATATGCCAAGGTTTGAAAAGATTATTAAATTAAGTCTTCCTTGAAGAAAAACACCTTTCCACGCTCCCATGACATGTTTATCTTGTACTTCTGCAAACTTTGTAAAAAAAACTTTGTAACTAACCGCTTTACTTCATCATGCATTGCTTGCATTACTTTCGGGTTAAAATTCTTAACCCTTAAAATAGTTTTAGAAACAAATGTCTGTGAATTTTCCTAGTGACTTTTTCTCCAAATTTTAGTATTTTAATGTAAAACTGTAATTAGTTAAAAAAAAATTTTACGGTACTGCTTGCTTCTATAAATAATTTAGGAAACATGATAATGTAGCACTGTTTTGACTTTCTGCACATATACTGTACTAAAAAAAGCTGCAATCTCGCAAATAGTTTTTTTAAATTCTCTGTAGAGGTATAGTTTTATGAAATTGGAGATAAATTTTTCTCCTACTTCGTTATTTTTTTGACTGAATTGAATGACACAAACTGACAAGCTGTTTTGCTTAATTAAAGCAAACTGTTTAACATTAGTTTTCAACATAACAAAACAATTAAGTTGTGCCAAGTCTTGGATCATATATTTTTTTCGCAAATTACCTGCATTATGTTGTTAATCCATAATGTGCCAAATGTACTTAACACTTGTCTGAAATTTAATTCTCTGTGACTGTCAAAGAATACTTTACTATGACACAAAGCAATTGCGACATTGAATGAAGTAAAGATTTTAAACATTTTAATCAATGGGTATATGAATATATTGTATACAACTAGGTTTTGAGAAATATATTATGTTTATTCCTCATTCTCATTATTAGCATTTCAGAAAAGTAGTTCAAGCGATAGAGTGAAAATTGACCTGAGAAATGGCATTGTACGTGGCGCCAGTCCCTTTATTGATATCATTTCTCTTCCATCGAAAGGTCAAAGCCGGAATGTGTGTGATAGTCAAGCTCTAATAAGAATAGATTTTCGTGGAACAAACGAGTCTGTTCTTTTTAAATTCAACTATGGAGAAGTGCCAAGAGGCTGGACATTTACTATTGCAGATTGTCCAAATGATTACGGTTTCGGACACAATTTTAATTGGTCAAGCAACTGCGCATCAACCCAAATGATTAACAGTCAACTCCTATTTCACATTTCACAACTGCCAGGCTATCGTCGAGAGACTATTGATGGGCACTCTTTGCTGAAGGTTTAACTATATATTAGTAATATGAGCACATCATATTATCACATAATAACAATTTGTTTTCCATCCATATTTTTTTGCTAATAGAAAGTATGAGAAAAGCTAACTTTGCAATCAATTGACGATAACATAGTTTTAAGGAATACGTGATGTGAATGTGCATAATAATTGTATAAGTAGAACATAGGTTTTTATCATTTATAGAAGCCCTTCTCATAAAATAAGCCTATAGCCATAATTTATTGCTTTCTCATAAATGACATGAAGTTTTTATTTAGCTATTTCTACATTTTTTTTAATTCAGGCCATTGACGGTGTAGTGGAAAATGGTGTTAACCTCAATGTTAGTGTTTCCAACGGGTACGTATCTTGGGGACCTGGTCGCATTCTCAGGAATAGCTACTTATACACTCTGGATGATCAACTAACGACGTATGGTCCTGTTGAAAAATATCTCTACCTTGCAGTCAATCGTGTTCCTTACAGTAATATTCGCTCAGGATCTGGAGTGTGTAATGTCGAGATAATAATGAAGAGGAATAATTGTAAGTGAATACATACATAAATTTTAGTTATAAGCTATGCGTTTAAGACTATACCCTATTCAGTTCTTCCTTGCGTTTTTTAAGATTTATTTCCTGCCATAGTGAGAACTGCCTAATGTAATATATAAAACTTCCAAGAGGAAAGTGTTGCTCTTGATGCCTTACATCATCCTAGAAAAAATGAAACGCAGTGCATACATGCTGCGGCAAAAACATTTTTATTTATTATTTTTAATAATTTTGAAAGATGTTGTTAAGCAAGTTATTTTTCCCATACTTATGTGCACTTGCCTTCACAATTAAACACATGTAGAACATTAGCAAAAGCTAACCACAGACAAGAATTTTTTTTATTTTTTTTTGAGCATTTTCTTTTCACGTTCATGCAAGCTGCATGCGTTATCAGAAAAAATATAAATCGTTTGTTTCACAATTACTCTGAGGACATTTATTTTTTATTTTACTTTCCTAAAACCTTAAATCTATCCTTACATGAAATGCTGAAAATCCATATATTTTTTTTTACTTCGCTCTGACTTCATATAGTTGGATGCAAAGTATAGCTAACTTTTCATAAAGTAACAACATTATTTTTCACTACAAACATTTAGGGACTATAAGTCGTTAAATTATGACTTACAATTTTTTGTTGCTTTTTCAAAAAATTCTTTTTCTGATATCAGACAGCAACAGCAAAGGGAAAAACACAAGGTTAAAGGGTAAATTCGCGTAATTAATATTTCACTAATGAAAATTTGCTTTATGCGTGGCAAAGTTTTGACGAATAACTCCTTTGGATTTCTAAACTATTGAACCATCTTTCATGGAGTCGCTCATTTCAAAGCATTCTTATATTATCAATCGTTGATCGACTTTTCACCAAATTCAACCAATTGCAAGGCCATATTTTTTATAGCAGTGGTTATTCATGCTCAGTTTACCTGCTGTGCTTCCCCCAGCAATGTTGTTGAAAACTACAATATGCGTATTCTGAGATCTTTAGCTTTCGAATACTATCATTGTTGTCGCGACGACATTGAAAACGATTTATAATCGCAAAGGTTTAACGCATCAGCATTCAACTCTATGGAATCCAGATTACACTTGTTTTTTATGCAATAATTTTTTTTAATAAACTCAAACGAGTTGAAATATGAGACAAGGTATCCACAAATTTTAAAATAACTGTTATATCAATACATGGTCAGCCTATAAAATTGCTCTTGCTGTGCAATTTTGTACGTTTATTTCCTTCAAAAATTACAATTTTCTTAATTCCTTTTAACGACGACAACATTATGTGTCTCCATGAAGAAGCTGATTAAAACACTTCTTTATTCTTGTGAGGAATTATACTAGTTGGATAATTAGGTATAAGCAAGTAATTTTATTGTAAATTAGTTTACTGCTGCTGTGTTTTTCAAATTTTGCCGAGTCTCATAGCTAACTAAATGGCACAGCATCACAAGAAAAACGATTAAAGAACGACGTGTTTCAAATACATCTGAAATGCGTCTCTTTGTAAAGGACGATTTTTTCCTCATTTGTTGTGGAGCACAATATTGTTATATGATCAAAATATCCCTGTCGTTTATATCATTTTTTCACATTTGTTCAAAGTTTAAGCCTTACACCGAAAACAATAATGTTTATTTTCATTAATTTATGTCAATACGATTTGAATTCGTTTTTCTTAACCAAATTTGAGCTATATTAATCGAATCTGTTGAAAAGCAGCAATGTTTTTATTCATGAGGTGAAAAAATGCTCGCGCTTTAAAGACCAGATCAGCTTTTTGACAAAATGTATTTTATATTATATCATTTAATAAATAAAAAACTTTTTTTTAAATTCAATCGAGTTTTAGTAAATTCATACTAATATTCTGTTGTGAATGGTTTAAATTGATTGGCTACCCTACTCGCGATCTATTTTCAGTAGACAGTGTGTAGTGAAGCAAAGATAGTGAGTAGCGAAAAACAAACATGGCTACCTACCCTGTCTAGTGTTCTACATAGGTTTCTGGGGATAAACTTGATATATAAAAAGGCAATTGTAGAGAAGGCTAAACTCACCACTAAATTGCTATAACGTTAAGATATTTAATGATAAAATAAACAAAAAGTCAATTAAAATACAACACATGCACTGAGCAAAGGTCGTTCGATTTTTAATCTAAACACTATGTCGACAACAACAAATACATGAAAAATAAAGAAAAACCATAACGACCCTTTCTTTATTAAAAATAGTATGATTCTACTTAAACAATTAGATTACTCGCTCTTGATTTCTTTAATACGATAATTATTTCGCCTCGTATATCGCTCGAGCTCATAGTGTAATTGTTAATTACAAACAAGCGAAAAATTTTGGAGAAACGAGAAATTGCTTGGCCTGCGATCGAGTGATTTTAAGCAATTTCTCGTTTCTCCCAAACTTATACAAGTGTATTTATAATGAAATTGGAAGAAGTAAATAGGTTATTTATTTCTATTATAAAATACCCTATTAAAGAAATGCCGTATTAAATGAATAGAAAACTTTATCAATTTTAATAACATTTTCCGTTTAAATTGCATTTTATTTAAATGACATGAATTAACGGTTAATTCATTTGCAATTTGTAATTTTTGAAAATTTCACGTTTTCTACTCATAATGACATATAAAATTTGTGAAAATGTTTAGAGCAAATAATGTTTTACTTTATACGGAGTCTCATTGTTTTGTTGTAATAATATGTTGTTTATGTTTTTGCCAATTAATAAAATTTCTTGCGCCACTTATTTTTGTGAGACTGGGAGTTCTCGTGCATTATACAGTTAAAAACACGGCTTTATCGAACATTTGACTAATCATTCCCGTATTTTGAGAAGGTTATTTTTTAATAGTATTTGATGTATATTTAAAAAAAAGTGATCTATATGTGAACAATACTAAATTTCATTGCTTGCTTTTAGCTACACGCAGTTCAATTTTGCTGATTATTTCCAAAGAGGTTTCCACGTTTCATCAACTGTCAACCAAAGCAAACGAATAAAGCTACGTAGCTTAATCCCCATCAACGCTTGAGTTTTTATTCATTCTTTAAGCTAAGTCTTTCTTAAATTTAACAAAATTGGATTTTGTTGTTGAATAACTGATAGGAAAACAGTAAATACCTTCAACTTTCGGTATTAAATTATTAAAGACAAAAAGCAGTTATTTTTAGTTTTGTGAAATTGCTAAAATTTGTTTTCCGTCATTTTACTCTGACGATTTTTTACTTTAGTAGACATGTGTATGAAAAAGCGGAGAGCATGCGGACCAAATTCCGTTTGCATTAAACAAAGTGGAATTACTTACAAGTGTGTTTGTCAATATGGGTTTAGAATGGAAGGAAATACATGCAGAGGTGAGTTAAATTGACTCAAACAATAAAATAGTTAAATGAATTTAAGTAAAAAAATACTTTTGTTTACATGTAAGAAAATTTCTATCACCGATAAAATTGCAAGTAATTTATAAATACACAATATTTTTACTGACTTACGTTTATTAAAGTTAGTAATAAAGTTCATATTAAAGTTGGTAGAGCAACCTGGGGAAAAGGGAGACACTTTTATTCTTGAAAAGGTAGCAACACAACCAAAAACATCTTTAACACGGCCAAGTTTAATTTCGTCAAATTTTTTTAAAAAGTGCTATATGTGGTTTAAGAACTGCTCGCCAAACTCACTTACTAAAATAAATCTCCACAAGCGAGAATTTGTTTAAAACAGAAAAAGTGTCTCATTTTGCCTCGGGGTCCCGCTTTTCCAAAGGTTTATGTTACAGTTTTTACTAAAGAATGTAAGAATATGCCGAAAGATGTAGCTGGCTATGTAAAAATTAAAAATTTTTTCAACTAAGCTAATTGTTCAACTTTCCTCCTGTAGAAAACGTGTTGTGACATATCTTTTAATAAATATGCAGAAAACTATTTTGTACTTTTGTTTCAGATCTAGAACAGCCATTAAACAAAAAATCATTACTATCATCAAAATTTCTGGCATGTATAGTTTAAAGTTAAAGAGTTCCTAAATCATAAACTTTTCGTATTTATGAATTTACATATTTTTCTTAAACAGATATAGACGAGTGTCATTTTAAAAATGGAGGATGTGCTCACTTGTGTAAAAACACACCTGGCAGTTATGAATGCAGTTGTAGATCACTGCAATATGCTCTACATGCTGATAAACATAACTGTGTTGGTAAGGTTTTATATATGTACACTTACATCTTTTATATGGTGAAATCTTATTTCTAAAGCAATTAGCAAGCAATACATTGGCATCACGTACCGTATTGGCTTTATTAAACGCTTTCTGTTTCATAAGCGACTTACTCCAAGACACGCCTCTTCAGGCTTAATAAAACTTGTATAAATAATCTTCGCTTTTAAATGCACGACACAGATTACCAGCTGATGCGATTATCATATATGAAATTCTTGCTCATTATCTCCGCTTGAGTACTATATTTCTGCTAATTCTTTCAGTAATGAAAACGGCCATGACATTTAATACGCTGAATTATGAAACGTATTCACTGCAAAACATACATACTTTACAACAGCTTACACAATGTTTTTTGATTAACAAACGCTATCAACAAAAATGAACGATAATAATGTCCTCAAACTTTGTTTTCTTCAATTTATATTTTGTAAAGAAACAATGCTTAAGACTGAAACATGGTGCGCAGTCGCTTTGGTCGTGCGACTAAAGCGAATTGATGCGCTCGCGTTAGCCGTTTCAACGTCGGAAACACACATATAGAAGCAAGCACTGATACCACATTGCGACTATCAGTATGGCATCTTGTAATCTGGCTAAGTAATTATGGCATCTATTTGCATTTTGTACGAGCTGGAAGAGATTGAAAAATTGAAAAAAAGAATAAAATGAAAAGGCAAGGTCAATCTGTATTTTCGCATGAGCACTGAAATCTTTGTCAAATTATGTGCTCATTTCTATACCTTTTGTCTTCAAGGTAAAATAGAACAGGAAAATTAAGAAAAGAATTTATGAGCGCTTCTTCGTAACCAGCCATCTTTGTTCTCGTAAACTTTAGAGATTAGCATTTGAGCTAGGAAATAACCAATCACATGCAAGTGACTGAAGCGAAGAAGGTCATAAGTTCAACATGCTGATCTTTCAAAGCGATTAGACGCGCGACTAAAACTACTAGCTTAGTGACCATGCAATTTGGTCGTTATAGTTGCGCGACCAAAGGTATGCACAGTGTGTTTAAGCCTTTACACGTACAAATCACTATAAATTACAATTACATGATAGTGATACTTTTACAATCATAATATAATGTGGTTTGCAAACGAGTAGGAATGGTAGTGATTTAGAAGCGATTGATTTGTGAATTGGAAATCTTCTCAAGGAAATCGTCGAGGAGGTCTTCCCTATTAAGAAATATTTTTATTATATACTCCCTACTGCAAGATAATAATAGTGAGAAGAAAAATTACGGTAAAGATACTTCTATTGCGTTTTGATTAAATCAAACAATTTAAATTAAAAATAACGAAATACGGCATTCCTTCAACAGTTCAATAGTGGGACAGTGAATGTGTTCAAGTTTATAACTAAACACTTGCACACTAAATATGTTTTTGTAAACAGTTTGGTGCAACAGTCTTTCTTGATAAAGTCCACAAGTCTTAGACGTAAATTAGTAAGAAATTTTTTCTTGTTCGTAGCCTGTACGTCAAATCAACAACTTTTACTAAATTTTGTTGTCATATTATGTTGAGTTATCTTCAGGATACAGACTGTAGTCTTATTTTGATATTATGGTATTTATAATTAATAAATGTAAAGAACTTTTCTTGAATTTAAGCTAAAAATAGAACAGAATTCAAAATACCATGAAATATTGCCGTTCCTTGCTCATTTTTTAAAATGATTTAAGCCAAGATAATATTGAAGAGGATTACAAACTATTTGGAATACGATACTTGGGCCAACTTGATTTTAATTATAGAATGGCAAAATATTTAACATGGTTTATATAGTTTATTGGTCTATTTACTTTATTCGTGAATCAGACATTTATGTTTAATTTAAAACAGTAGTCATATAAGCCATTTAATTAATCAGGATGGTAAAGTTATGGAATTGTTTGGTAATTATTTTTTATAGATCTTTCAAGAAAGAATTTTATCACGAGAAAAATAAGGCTGAAATTAAAAGTTCGACGATGCAAAACAAATGCCAAAATATCATCGAACTTTCGTCGTGATTTACGGCAACTGATCTTAAAAGAAGTCTGTAGTGCTCCTTGTGAGATCCAAGCAGTTACATCAAGATGTCGTTTCAAGAACATTTATTTCCTATTAGCCAGCTTTGAAATAAAAATTGACATTTATTCAGTAGCACAACAGTCATCATGCAACTCGTCGTGCACACGTTGTAAAGCCGAGATTCGACTTCATAGAATTGCTTTTAATTTAAGAAAGTTGGTAAACTCGGGCAAGCTGTTTCTCTCATTTAACGGAGACAAATACCTAGTCAGAAGAAAAGATATCAGAGGATTGAAAAAGAAACTAAAATGTGCAAGGAACCCTAGGGGACAAAGTGAGTAATTTTTTCTATTAGGATTGCTTAATAATTACTTTTTAAGTGAAAAATAACGTATAAACAGGGGCAGATCTAGGATTCTTCAAACATCAGGCATAAAACGTCGGAGGCGCTCCGCACCTAGGGGAGGGGGTCCGAGGCATTCCCCCCTGAGAAAATTTGAATTTCAGAGCCTTGGAAATGCCATTTTCAGCGTTTTTGAACAATACAAAATGTATTTTTTTGGGCATCGTTTTTGCGTAAAAACGACACATTTTGCTTACGTTTTTTTCAAAAAAAAACCAACTGAAGTGAAAAACACTTGAATGTTTTGACAAATATTTAGGATCATTATCATGCCAAATATATGGCTCATTAGCATGTCTAGGAATGTAGAATTTATTTTACAATAATGCTATTCCAAAAAAGATATTTTCTTTAAAATCTTATACCAAGTTGTCAAGCATAGGCCCCCTAGAGACCTCCATTCAAACCTCTATGTAATGAATTAAGTTAGAAATTTAGTACTACAAGGCACAGTTCATAGATGTAGAAAAGCTCAGACTTCAAACATGCAAGTTTATTGTAACCCTTACCCATCTCTGCATACAGTGCCAGCTAATTCACCTTTTGAGTAAAACTTAAAATTTTTTTTTGTCAAAGATTAAGCAAAAATTGTCACAGTGAAAATTTGCTTTTAAGGACAGCTTAATGCCATTAATGCTTATTAGGCATTTCACTATACTATTATCTTCTGTAAGTATATGCAAGGTGTGCTATATAGCAATCACCAGTAACAATGCATTTGCCAATACAAACAGAATGGTTCATGTGTCATTCTTACTGGTTATGATAAATATCTTTTCATATGATCAAAGCTCGTGTAAATGTAAATCTGAAATAATTTAGTTTAGAAAATATAATGATCATCAGAAAAATTACCTAGCGATCATGAAAAATATTTTGCTGTTTTGCCAAATTTCAAAGTTTATCTGCATGAATAGAAAGACATTTTTACTTTATATAAAATGCTTTTAATACATCAATAGCACTTTGGAATTTATGACAAACAATCTGATATGGGCCACAGATTAACACACCTTTACATCTCTACATGAGGTGTTCAGTTAGAAAAGGGGACAATTTGTGGTGACATGGGACAACATTTCATGTATGTGAAATACTCAGGTTTAATACCATTCCAGTCAAATTGTCTAAATAAAAAGCTTTATGGATTAGAAGACTCAAAATCACAGGTTATAGTAAACAGCTTCTCATGTAATCAATGTGTTCTCACATCTTAAACAATATGTAGTATAACTGTCCAATGATTTAATGATCAACGACCATAAACTGAAAAGCTCGAAACATTTGTTTATGATAAAGTAAATAATATTATGGCGCCTCATGGCTACAGATTTTTTGTCCATTGAAATATATTTGCAGGAATGTAGGATTTCGCTGCCATGTAATGGCCACGATTCCTTAAGCAATAAAGAAATCATAGATAAAAGTCCTTTCAGCAACAACAATTTTAGAAGCATTAATCTGCTTACCATACGCCATATTGACATAAATCGCATCACATACTCGCATAAATTGACTTTGATATTTTACATTCATGCAGACACTTCAGTTGTCCTTTACTTACGATTTTCGATGTAAATTTCTGCTAACAAAACTCAAAACAATGTTGGCTTGCTTTTTAACATCAACAACTGAACTGTTGCTCGCGAGATCGTCTTTGCCAAACATTTACAATTCATCCATAAATTTTCACCCTCTTGAAAAATTCACAGTTTGGACAGCAGCATTCATGTTAATATATAAATTTGTAAAAGATTTCCATAAATTCCATCTGATTGTAGTTTAGTTTCTATCATGCTTTACAAAATTACTATGAAACGATCAAACATTCAATTCAGACAGTGAGCTTGATTATGTTACTTCAGTTGGCTATCAGTCGAAATCGGTCAAACCAATCACAGTAAGACAAAAATTTAAACGAACCAATTACACGATAGCAATTGGACTCCCTTATCGGTACAGCCACCCCACTTATTGGTCGAGATTATTCCAGATCATCCACTGATCTGGCTATTGACCAATGGAAATGCTTAAATAAGCATTTTTGAGCTCCGTTGTCGGTCGAACCAGTCGAGCCACACCGCTTATCATTTAGCCAGTTAATACAATTCTAGATATGTTTTTATCTACTGATGTGTTTACTAACGTGGTATTTGTATATGTTTTCATACATAAAAAAGAATTTTGACGATGAAATCCAAACGATTACTGAACGGAAATTTAATGATCAAAAAAAATATGTAATCATTACATTTGATAAATAATTTTTGAACGATAAACATATGTCGAGTGACTGATTTGACATACCTTAGATCCACCCCAGCGTATAAAGATGACTGGAAATTTGTTTTGATGAGAAACAATTTATAATAAGAAGGAAGAATAAGTTGGCTTGTTGGTCTACGACAATTGTCCTAACATGAAGTTTCCTCTTTTATTTGTTACAATATTGCTGTCTGTGATTTTTATCAACAAAGCAAAGTTGTCCTCTCTGAAATTTCGTATAATATAGTGATTGAAAATTATAAACTGCACAAAACGAAATTATTATATATCGCAAGTTAAATGTTTTTTAATATCCATTAGTTGAACTTCTATTATTAATTTCCACTTTCTGATTCTATGAATTTGGAAGTTTCGTGAAATGAAAGCTTTGTCCAAGAGTGAAAATACAAATTAGTGTGTAAAGTAGAAAATGTAGGCATGGAGATGTTTCTTTTGCCATATTTTTTAAGATGGACGCAACTTTGCACTTTGTATATTTGTAAACTGTCAAAACAAAACAACTCCTAAATTTTAATGAAACAAGAGAATTGTATTTCAAAATCTAACATGTATTATGTCTTTTTAATTATATGATTAATAACAAGCACTATGAGCACTGAAATATAATATAGGGTGTCCCTAAAGAACGGAATCCACAGAAATAATTATATGTATGCATTTAATGAAATCTGCAAAGGATAATGTAGTATGAATTAGCTATTACTTCCTCTTAGTTAATTTGTTGTGAAGCTTCTTTATGTTTAAAACAAACTGGAACCTGGCCAATAAATATGTATACGCAATGAAATTATATCTGCATTGGAATAAATAATATTACGTTACCAGTTTTGTTGTTATAAATCAGGTATTGGCGCTTTGATTTTACAAAACTTTTGTTTAATGAATTTGAAGTGGAAATCAGTGCATGACAGTGCTTTTACCCTGTTTTTGGTTTAACTAATACTGCAAAAATTCTATAAAATCAAAGAAGCGCAGAACATTTAAGTTCATTAGACTATTTTGTATGCTAGTTACAATAATGTGCGCAATAACTTAAGAGAATGCAAATTGATTTCTAAGGGCTCCACTTTTTGTTGCACACATTACATTATATTGCATGATAATTTCAGTGAATTCATAATTAATTTATGTGGGTTCCTGTTTTTTTGAACACACTATGAATTGCATTAACATGTTTGCAACTTATGTACGTTCCAATTTTGTAATTTTTAAACAACCTTTTTTCCATTTCAAAATTTCAAGGCTCTTGTGCTCGAGGAAACTATTTCAAAGTGTCTTCAAATCGTTGTGTCGAATGTCCAAGAGGTACTTACCAAAATCAAGCGTCTGAGACCTTTTGCTATCGTTGCCCTGGCAACAAAACGACAATTGCGCCTGGTGCAAAGAGTAGAACGAAGTGCATAGGTAACTATCACATTTGCTTTGTACGAAATATTTATACTTTGATGTCGCAACTTGTATAATATATGAGTGTTTTTGAAATTACAATAAGTAATTTGTTTCTTTGTCATTAAAAGTTTAGTCTTCTTTGACAGAAACAAAATGTGGCTGGAATGTAAATAGCACCGTTTCGGGATTTATCTCAACTCCAAATTTTCCAGATCCTTATCCTCCTGGAATTACATGTGAATGGACAATTGATACAATAAAAAATCATACAACGTTTTTCCTCATTCCAAGACTCTCTCTTCCCTTTGACGTTCCATGTGCAGATTATCTTGTCATTCGAGAAAATAAAAACCCTAACTCCGTTTATACGTATGAGACTTGCGAGAGTAACTCTGATCCTATAGTTATAGTGGCGAGAAGTGCAAAACTCTACATAAAATTTCATTCTAGTAGTATACAAGGTGCTGTAGGATTTAAGATGCGCTTTGGTGGATACAAAGGTATAAAAACAATTGTATTTAATGTTACAAGACGTTTGATCATAGTTATTTACATTTTTCATACATATAGTTTGCTATAATTTTGCCATTTCCATCTAATATTCTTAAGCTTTGATGCGTGACGGCTAATACTAGACTTTTTTTAATGAAGGGTTCAGCTCAAATTAATTCTTACGTTTTGAAATTTGAGGACTGACTGACGAACTGTTTTCATAAGTACTACAATAATTGTGCATATTTTTATTATTTAGTTCCTACCTGAGTATAAACTCTCACTTGTTGCTAACATGAATTTTCTTTGTTAGACTCTGTACGCCATGTAGTTGAGGACATAATTCAAGATGGAAACATGTTTAGTAGAAAAAGTCACAGGAAATTACTGCAGGTAAATGAATAATTTCAAAGACACCATATGTTGTAATAAAAAATGTCTGCTGTAGGGATATTTTAAAAACGAGGAAACATTTTTAGCTACTGCCATTCTTTTATAGCAGGCTATTTTTTAAAAAAAATCAGAGGCCAATTACATGCATTTTTTCAGCTTGGTTAAAGTTTCAACTTTTTGGCCTGGATTAAATTTCAGCACGGTGTTAGTAGTAAATAGAAATTTTCAGATTTGACTACGAGTACGACTACTGCTACGCAATTCGTTTTTTTGTGCAAACTACGCGATATTTTGCAGTCGTTACTACGTACAGAAGAAAAAATCGTAGCAGTCATCTAACTGAGTACGTGATTTTGAAAAAAGTTAGATAGTCTAGAGTACTTTTTCATTTTCTTCTTATTTGGTTAAAAGGCATATTTATTAAGCCATCAAATAACAGAAATGTTGACATCTTAGTTTCACGAATCACTTTAGAAACGTATTGCCATATTGTGAAGTTGTTTTGCTTAAGTATTTATAAGAGAAACGTTTTCTATCTTTTTGCTAATCACTGATTTTTTAATTGCTTTCTTTTGTATTGCTGCTCAATTTGTCTATAGAGGCATTGTTGTTTTTTTTTGTCAAAGAAAAATAATATAATTGATTTTATTTAATAAAATTTCCTGAAAGTACAAAGTCTGGCCATGAACATAACAAAATGACGGACGAAGTAAACATTTCATTAAATATAAAATTGACTAATAAGCTCCATAGCTACATCCGGAGTTTTGATTACTTGCTTCAAATCTTTTTCCACAAATTTACCAAGAATATGAAATTCTTCGTCGTTGATATGTTTAGCTGCATATTGTGTGATCGTAATACCAATAGAGTTTCCCATAGAATACCACTAGAATTCCCATAGAGTTTTGCTTTATTACTTCGCAAAAAAACACTGTTACATTTATACATTCCTGAGTAATGAATGCTTCAAAAATGCATTTATCACAGTATATTTTGACAACAAATAAAGGAATAAAGTTGTACTCGTACTTGTATTCATCATCTTAACAAAAAAATACTTTGACTACGACAACTTGTTTATTGAACCCAGATCCCTCACAGTCAAATCATGTAGCGGTAGTCGTACTCGCAGTCAATTTTGAAGCTCTCCATTGAAAACAATAGGCAGCATGCGATATATTACATACATAATTTTGACCCAGCTTCGTTTCAGCCGGGGATGAATAATCTGTCATGCAATCGTTCCATCGCAGCTGAAACCTCTAGCTAAATTATTAATATAGCATGTGCGTCTTTTATAGTTACTGCTTTTAACCATAACAAAACGAGTTCGCTATTCATGAAGATAACAAAGAAATCAAAGAAACGAGAAATTAAACGAAAAATTCAAAGAATTTCAAAAGTTCATGCTCTGTGTTTAGGTGGAGATGGCAAGCTAGACAAAGTGATACGCTGCTTAGCCAGAGTCAATATTTTTTATTTTATCGCTGGCAAATTAAGGCATTACGAGACGGTTGAATTTAGCCTTGCTAAAATATAGAGATGCTAGTGATCAGTCATGACGATGTAGAGCTTTTGTACATTCTCTTCAGGCTATGTTTTTAAATTTTGCTCTGTTTCTAATAGAAGCCAGCCAGATCTTTTACTCCTACCATGCAAAATTTTCAGCAAATTTACTATTCATTTCTTTAGAAAATTAATACCATTCATCGTGTTTCCAATTAATCATTAAACACAAAAATATTTGCATTGTAGGAGTAAAGACGGGCTGGTTCCGTTACTGCTTTAAACTGGGTGAAAATTAGCAATATAACCACAAAAAATTTCAATCCGCGGGTGAATTTCATCCCGATCTGATAATGCTTCGTGTAATCACAACTGAAAAACATGTAATGCTTATCATCCAACAAGAGTCAGCTAATCTTCTCATCTTTCTTTTTGCAGAACGAGGACACAACATCAGATCTCTTTGCCGTGCTAGCTGAGCCTTTGGCTTTCCCAATTTATTACAATGATCAATATCTTTCAAAGCTTCCGTCATCGTTTATAGCATTCATCAGGAACAAAGTTTTAAAATACTTTTTTGGTCAAAAATAAAAATATATATGCACAAACTGTCGCTCTCATCTCGAGAGCTCAATTTTAGAAACGTTGTAACCGAACTAGTTTAATAGTTTACGAAACAGAGTTTGTAAAATATATTTTGTAGATAAACGTTTTTACGTCATCATAAGTTTGTTCGTGTGTGCGTTGTCATAGCAATTATGAAATTTTTCTCCAAAATACGAACAGTAAAACAGGAAAAAATGCGATGTTTTCATATGCCACAAGATAGTTAAATTCCTTGAAATGATAACATTTTCATTAGCAATAATAATAATGGAATAAAGGTTTAAGTATGAATAAAGTTCCGTTTCCGCTGAATTATCCAGCGAAGTAGGCTTTATAGGAACGTTACGACTCTAAATATCAAATTAACTGCAATACACAATGTTTTGGATATAAGATCATGCTTCACAACCTGTAGCTCTGCTTCACACCTCTTCAAATATCTTCGCTATAACTTTTCATTTATTTTACAACAAACAACTACAACTCCTAAAGAATTTCTGTCAGTGTTAGAACTGATTATTTACATCTATGGAAACTAATAGTAATTACTGGAAAACAAAACTAAATCTTTTCTTTTACGTCGTTGGCAGTTCTTACTTCGCGAAACTTCATCGTGTTTCAGGTTTCAAATTTAAAAAAGAAACCAAGCAAGTAAAAATATTTTATTGTTATGATGAAGTATCCGACAATGTGGTCCTGCTTGTAAAATATTACATTTCAAAATTAAATTCAAAAAAGGCTTAAATTGAAACGATGAAACACACCAACTTGTCAATAGCTACAAATAATTGCATTTGTTTCAAAAATAGACGTAGCTAGTACATTCCAAAATGATGTTTCGTCCAATCACAGATTTTTGCAAACAAAGAGTTTTAATCCAGCCCTTTGAAGCTGCTTATTCCGCCAAATGAATATAATGCAATCAATAGTGCAGTTGATGAGAAAAAACACTCCACTCCATTTTCTGATATATACTAAGAGTTCTTGATTGATGGATTATGGAAGAGTTACCCTTAAAATTAAATGCATCAAATAGGGAATGGAGCTCAGTGTGACAGTTAAAATGCAAGTGTGTTTTTTTTTAAATAACGATTTTCCTGTTTGACTATGACTTTCACGTGCGCGAGCTGCGATTCTAAACATAGTTATATTCGGGCAAGCTAGAAAAATTGCTATTATTATCGTCAACACAACATTTGTAACATAATGTACAACAATGAGACATTTAATGAACCTGAAAACTCTTAAAGTAAGATTGATTAACAGAAATTTTCGCATCATGAGCACAGGGCGTCGTTTATTCACATGTGCGAAATGAAACAGCTGTGGTGTTAATGCAAGATAGCGGTCAATCGTCATTTTCAAGACGGCGGCGTACATTGAAAATCAGAAAATTATCTTGCTCACATATACTCCATTAATTTTACGATGTTTGTTTCCCAACCATGAAATCTGTCACCACCGACTTCCTTTGCCATGATACAAGCACACTGATAAAAGTTGATAGAACTTTCCAAGTTTTTTGACATTTTAACTTGAAGAAATAGCTAAACTTAATTTTTCTGCTAATTGGTCACGTATTCTGCTTCTTGTATTTAGAAAAAATTGTAAAAATGTCATTAGCAATTATGAACACGTAATTTGTTGGATTGATTGATTGATTTCATTGGTAGGGCTGAGATAAGTTTTCACAGGGTAAAGCAAACACGGTTAGTTACCATTCATACCATACGCTTTTATTGTGTTTTTTTAACAAATATAGCTAACACCGATAAGTTGTTGCATATTTGAATGAAAAGATTGAGAGCTCACCGAGCAGACACAAACATTTGTTGATCTCCTTTAAATTACTATCTTCTCTCGACAAAACTGATGAAGGATTGTCAATTTAGTGATAAAGATAATGTATACACGATAAAATTAGGTAATATCGCTAAAAATAACTTCAAAACCACATCTGGCGGAAAACTGTTAATAAGTTTTTGTGACATATTTCTATGGAAAACTTTTTGGGCTAGTCGTTTTTAAGAAACACAAATATTTCAAACAATATATGACCACAAAACACAAAAATTTGCTGTTTTCACATTTTTATTTTAAATCTTTTAGCTATACTCTTAATAAAAAGCGGCGAGAGTTTCTCGTTACGCATGTATTAGCTACGTCACATAGCGATTACAGGGGATCCCCTCCATCATGTTTTTGGAATCAGGCAATTTATAGAGTTTAGACGATTTTAAGCAATTTTTTAAAACATCTTGTAATTCAAAAGTCTCAGCTTTGTGGATTTTTTGCCTTAAAGTTGGTATAACATAAAGTATTTTCGATGTTTCACCGCTGTTGTTATTGTGACGTTGAATTGGAACTAAATGTTGTATGAAATGGCCTGTATTGAATTTTGAAATTCATTGTTTTTGTTTGATTCCCGTTTCCCGGTCTGAGCTGCGCTGCAGTCTGAGTGATTGTTATATATTCCGGAATGACATTCGATTTGCAATAAACTCGTTGAGTTTTAAAAGAAATCCTAGTGCATGTTTGCATAAATTTGAATGAGTTACAGTTCGATCCGGACCGAGTTCATTCCTATTTTTAAACCTGATCGAAATTTCAATAAAAATCGAAATAGAGTTTTAATCTCATGTAAACACAAATCGAGTTTCATTCTGGAATGTGATCGCGATTAATGACGAAAAGGACAAGCAGGGACGCATGAATACACATTAATGATGACTGCGTTGAGGGACACGCCAACAAACTGAAACACGAAATTACGAATGATGAACAGGATTATAGTATTGTACCACAAGTAATAGCTTTGCATTTTTTCAAAATTGCTTTCCAAAGAAAGAATTTCAACACTTCTGCGTTTTAGCTGTTGGCCATTGATATTTATACATTTATGAGTACTAAACAGGTGTGAACCAGAAATATATATATGTTATTGCGTTTGCATTTAAAATATTTCTTGCCGCTTGCATATTGTAATTAAGTCAGTGTACTGACTCATAACATATGAATGCGTATGTTGTATATACTCAATTTTCAAAACATTCATAATCCACTACTACTTTGAAGACAGTTGTACTTAACTAGTAGATAAAATTCTAAAGATGCATTTAACCGTTTGGCATTTTGAACCAGACGGATTATTTTTTATTCAGGGCGAATGCATGCAATATTTTTGGTCAAAAATGAAACCATGGCAAAACCAGAACGTTATTTGGGGAGGGGGTGGGGTGTATACTCATTTATCCAGTTTTATCCACCGATTCCTTTTAAACTATATTAACTTTCAAAAGAAATCACAATTCTTTTTTGTTGTAACATTTCATACTTTGTTGTGTGCCAAGTTTTGCATCTTTTTCAGCTAAAATAAACACAAAAATAAATGGCTCGAAGAATTTCAGAATTATAGTGTTCAGAACTAGCACAAGTGTCCGCTTTACTCCGGAAGGCGTTCCCGTAAAAAGGTAGACTATACGTTCCACATTTCCCCCAAAAATATTCATTCTAAAGCAGAAATAGTCTAAAACATCTTAAATGTGTTTAAATGCGTGCTTTCTTTTTGGTCCAGTTCGAAAATTTAAAATTCTTGCTCAAAAACACTGTCAAACGCCACCCAAAGCTTCCTGGTTGAACTTGTTTGAACAGAGGAATGTGAGGAAACTTTATTTAGAAATGAGTGTAAAACTGCAGAATCTGCATTTTATGTCGTATCTTAAATCAAGTATCCCTAAAATTACGTAATCAAAATGGCGTTGATGGATGGCGAAAGACACCAAATTATTAAGATTTAAGTGGAAACAAGTGAAATTATACTTTCTACGATATATTCTACTTATTAATAGTGTTAAAATGTAGTGCCCGATGGGGGCACAAAACTGTGCGATAATCGGCTACAGAATACGGCCTAAGATCCCTTTAACTGTCGAAGAACGTTTTCAGTATACATCTTCTTTATCAAGTTCCAATGTAGCACAATAAAAGTAAATCAGGGTTCTCTCTTTTTTGAGCATCATTAAACATTCATGTTTTCTTTGCAAAGGGTGATTAACACTGCAACCGTAAAATCTTTAGCAAGAAGACTAGCTACTATGTACCCTAATTATTCGGCATAACACTTCAACAATCTATTTCGTAGAAATTTATGACGTTCTCCTAAAGTCTGGTACTCTTCGTCAATGTCAAATGCTTCTTTAAATTTCTTTGCCAGTTAAATGTTAACCTTTTAAGCCATTTTTTGTTTTTATGGTTAGAAAAAAACTGGTCACTTTCTAAAAATGTAAACCCTCTCATATATCGGATACACCAGTAGTCACTTCTTTAATTTATGCATGCATGTTTTGTGCTTAGAAATATTAAATTAGAGGTCCAATTTTTGCACAAAACAGAGTGAAATAGTCTTCCCAATCCTGTACAGAATTAGCACGCTTAATTATATAAAATTACATACGATCAGCAAAATCTTATGTATAAAGTGTACGACTTTGATTTTTGGGTCAAACGTCAGTTTTCATACATACATAATTTAAAAGCATGAATAATTATTTATGCAGGTTACGTTCTTTTCAAAACAGTGTATTCATATAAGCACTCTCTACTTTATTAGTTTCAATGGAAATCAATTGCTAATAGGGATAATAATATACTAAACCACAACCCTGCTAAGTTGCCTATTTAATATTACGATTTAATTAGTCACAGTAATGGAGTCTTTGTGTAACTCAAAATTATGAGAACTGTTTAATAAAACTGAACATCATACAACTTCATAAATGAGGAGAGAGGCGCGTTTTTAAAGACATGGTCGTCATGTTTAAATGATGGATTTAGGTAATCTTTAGGGAACAGATAGTGAAAGTGTAAAAATGTGCATATCTATATTTAGACGAGACGCTTATAAGGTGTTCACTCGGGAGCATTGTTTGGTCATATTTGCGTATTGTAATAGTATCAAAAATAGCGCAACAAGATTTGCAGCAATATGCGTTTCATTGGTTCAGGGATTGCTTGTGAGTCGCTCGTGATTTGTGTCATCTCGTAGTAAGTAAAATAAGAATTTTAAATCCTTGATTATCTTCGGTAGCTAAATAGTAATTTTGCCGAGAAAAAATATGAACAGGCGCAGTCTGTTATTGAAAAGTAAATTCCTTCATAAACCAAGCCATAACAAGATTACAAAGTTGTCTTATAGTCACAAATTACTCGTTAATTATAAATGGTTAAAACTTTCACATAAAGCAATAAAGTTTCAGTTCGAAGTCTATAATGAAAATTCTATTTTAAGAAGCTTCCCCACCATTTGAATTTCTGGATTTTTGAAAATGCCTCGCCACAACTGCTATCATAGCGACAAGTGCAACGCCAACAACCATAGCCGACGCAATCACAACAATAACTACTGAAGACACGACTACGGCGTTTTCTGAAGATTGAAGTTGAACATTTTTATCGCAGTGTGTATCATTCTGCTTCGTGACGTTTTCTTTCATGGCAAGGTGTGTGGTCACATGTGTTACTTCAGGTTGACTTTTCAATGCTAATACATTATTTAAATCCACGTAAGCGCTGCTTGATTTCGCCGAAGACTTTTCGAAAGACTTTTCTTTTTGTGATTCAACAATGACATCAGTAACTTTTGGGTAAACCGATGGCTCTTTGTTGCGGCTATCTTCGAGTGAAGTATGAGACTTTTGAGTAAGTCGGGGTTGCTCTGAGCTCACTCTATGCTTCAAAATATTGTTACTCGGACCTGAGGACACAAATAAACTGTCGTTAAAAAGATGTAAAGAGTTACCCATATACTTTCTATAATTATTTATTTATAGTTCATTTCATTATGATAAGAATTGCTTTAGCTAAATTCATTAAAGATTTTGTGAACATACTATGGGTTTGCACGCTTTTGCTAAAAGAAGATACAGTATCAAAAAAATGATGTAAAACCATAAAATTAATTTAAATACTACGAATGTAAGACTGTCATAAAAGAGACGATGAAATAAAGTCCTTCTCACATTTATCACGTGGTAAACATGCCTCTAGTATCGAGGCAAGCACACCCATTTAGTGCTCCATGCAAAACTTCTGTGTTCAAACCCTGCCCGGTAAAACAAAATAGACTTCTACAGAAACGAATGACGCTTGTACGTTTAAATTTATATAGAAAGACCTTAACTTGCGGACTGGTCACGCAATGGATGATCATTTCGCTAGAAAACTGTTTAAGTGCTTGTATCATAGCTTTTTTTACTTCATTTGGGTAGAGGACAAAAATAATTATTAGGTTCTTCAACACTTTTTGGTTCGCCAGATATTACGATCAACAAAACAGAAAGCGTGCAGTTATAATAAAAATATTGTGTACTAACTAGAGTCTGATGGGATTGCGGGTGGGGGGTGGTGCAAAACTTCTCTTAAATCATAAAAGGAAACGTGCAATAAAGCAAAAAACATTCAGCTTTAAAGTAAATGGTTTGAACCCGGGAGTATCGCTAAATGTTTGTAACTGTAGATCGTCCAACAACACAAACAGTCCTTCTCAGGTCTATTCCAACCTGGAAGATCTACATTTACAAACATACATGAGTTTAGATGAAAAAAATAAAATTAAAAGTAACAAAGACTTACTTGAAGCGTAATCTTTCATGAGCCAGTCATTATCCCCTGTCTCAATTCCTTCAATGTGGAACTTGTGACCCAAAATGATATCACCGACAAACCTGTGTGGAGGGCGGTGAACATTGGCAGAAACTGTTGTTTTGGGCTTGAAGAACTTTGAAAGAGGAGAAGATGTTGGCATTGTGGGAAGGATCAATGTTGGTGGGAGTTGGGTAGACGTGGGCTGAGCAGTTTTGCTGTCCGGGGAGGCAGGCCCAACAGATGCGACATTAGGTGAATTGCTAGTTGCTTTTGTCAGCTCATTGGTAATATCAATAACGTCATAAACTTTAGGAATATTCTGTATTTTCGGTGCTTGACTAGCGGGTGGATTCTCTGTTTCATCGATAACGTCATAAACTTGTGGTAAGTCAATCTTCATTTCATTCGACTGAAGAGTTGTAGTGAGATTCTTGTTCGATGTTTTTTTATGAGAGGTTTCCGTTATCACCTTACCAACAGTGTCTACTTTGAAAGTTTGTTTGTTGTTTGACGGTTCTTCATGAGAGGGTTCAGTTATCACCTCACCGACAGTGTCTGCTTTAAAAGTTTGAGAGGGAGGTTTTGTCGAGGAAACATAGTTAGAGGTCGGTAAAATTGTAGAAGCCAGATCGCTACCGCTATCACTCATGAGTACGTTTTCGATATCAATGACTGGTGATTTGCTAGGTTGTGGAGAAATTGTAGCTCTTTCAGTAGTAGCAGGGACATATGGTATATCGGTGGAAATTTTCGGGAATTGTTTAGGCTCAATGAGATTCCCAATTCCTTCGATGACCACATTTGGTTCTACCGAAGTTACTTTAGGATGAAACAGCTTATGTGATTTATGGTGATGATGGATTGGAACTCCAAGCATATGTGCTACTTGTTTGAAAAAGGGCGATGTGGTTTGTGGTTGCTTTCCCCCAGAAGATGTACGATTTGGCATTGATGGAATGAGGCTCGTAGATTTGGAGATTGGATTATGATTCCTCGTGAAGTTCTCAAATTTCTTGGCCTTATCTATAAAATCTTCTCGTTGTCTGGTGCTTTCAAAGGGACGGAGCTTCCTCCATGGATGTTCATCTTGAGATAAACCATAGGATCCGGATAAATAAGATTTGGATCAGTAGCGTCTATACGCGGATCATCGCGCCAAAACGTCCAACTACCACCATGGTTGTCGGGAAGTGAAGAATTGTCCAAAGGAGGATAAATTGGAGATGTCGAGGCGTTAGCAAAATGATAAAATCGTTCCAGCATTACTTTCATTGTGTTAGGCATAATTTCCGCAATATTGTGATACTCGCAAGGATCCCACTTGATGTTAAACAAACAAGGTCGTTCTTTGGGCTTGCAAACAGGTGCATGAGTAAACAAGAGGGGATGTGGTTCACGTATTGTGCAATCAACTGTTGTACCTAAACATGGATAGAGAAAATTACAAAACGAGCCTTATGCATTCGCAGGAATCGCAGCAATGAATTGTGCCTTTAGTGAACACATTAACTAACACACAAATAATTCGCCGGGATCCAGAGAAGGTGAAAAAAAAATCATAAAAGAATTTTTTTACAATGCTGTTGGTTAGAAACTTCTAGAGCAGACCTAAAACTAAAATACCTGCAACAGGATTTTCTATCAAGTATTTCAAATGCAAATAGAAACGTATTTTCAGTAATGTATTCTGACCTATCATGGATCCGTCATTAATTGCTAGCTCGTTATGATTGAAAAAACATTTAGCAACACATATAGAATGTGTATCAACCATGAAGCATTTCGCGCAAATCACGACGTAAAGGCGGATTTTGTAATTGCTCGACGCTGTATAAATTGTCGAAGTATTTATTCATTAAGTGGTCGAGGCAGGAGTTTGTTATGAATGTAAAACATTGTTTTTAAGTTGTTTCAAAAGCTTATGATTTCAAAAGGCTTCTTTAGCTAAGCGAGCAAGGCCAATTGCTAGGGGGTTAAGTGAAATTTCAGGAAAATTACAAGACGTTTGTCGCATTCACGTTGCAACAGGTTCCGAATGTTAACATAGAAACATAGACAAAAGCGCAAAGTGCATCTTGGTTGGCACACATTGTTTAACAAAAACACCACCTTCAATTATTTGGCGCTTTTTTCGCTTATTCCAACCCTTAGGCACTGGAACGTCGGGCCTTGGATACCAGTCTCCATAATAAGAGTCATCTTGATTTACAATCAATTTGTAGTCTCCAACACGTAATGCACCGGACAACACACTGAATGTGTCCACACCATGAAGTATTTCAAATCGAGGAGAAGGCTCAGATTTGGAAAGCGAGTTCCATATATTGTATCCGTCAATTTTACCAAGGGTTTCGACATGGCCGCCAGCAGCCGCGTAGAGCGTTGGCAACCAATCTGAGGCATGCAATAGCTCTTCACAAATGCGACCTGTAATTAAAATAATTTTGTAAATCGACGTTTATTTGAAATATGTAAAAAGTAATGACTACACATCAATGCACGAAAATAGATAAATTGTATCATTCGCGAAATGCTCAAGAAAGGAAGAACAACAAGTTGGAATAAAAATTAGTCGAAGAAACACACCTTTATCTCTTAATAATGGGCTAGACACAAAGCCTACACCACGTACACCACCTTCCCAGAACGTGTTCTTCCCTCCTCTCAATGGATAATTTGACCCAGCACTGTCATCATATCCACCAGCAGCCCCTCCATTGTCAGTGGTAAAAACAATGATTGTATTGTCTATCATGCCTTTTTGTGCAAGAGTCTCAGTCAACTGTTTTAGAGATTCATCTAAAGAGGCCACCATTCCTAAAGAAAGTCGACAATTAAGACAAGGCATTATAAATGGTTACAATATAAAACGAATATTACATCAGACTGACCGACTTCTTATGAAAGTAAGTTCAAAATAAGAGATCAAAAAGGAATAGCTGAAGATATGAACATTCATTCTCTCCTCCATACCCCCCTCCTTCCATAACCCTCAAATTAAAAAAAACTTTAGCCTAAAAATTAGAAACTTTGCTTAAAGAAAGAACCAATCTTTTCCTACCGGCAAATTTTCGTCGTGAATGATCTTTGATTTTAGTAAATTGTTTCTCATATTTTTCGGGAACTTGAAGTGGATCGTCACCGTTCCCAACATGCACCGCTTGATGAGCAAGATAAAGAAACAACGGCTTCGTGGTGTCGTGATTATTCACTATATTTCTTGCTTCTCTAGTAAATAATTCCGTGCTGTAGGTACCGCTTTCATTGTAAACTAACTACAAATAGCAAATAAATAAAGTTCAAAAGATATTCACATGCGACTTGTTTTCAGAAAATATGTTACAAAGCTTTTGAAGTCCATTTTGTTCACGCACAATAATGTCAATTTCCAATACATTGTCCAATTTTGTTGCTAAACGTGTACCGGATTTTTCTGACGGGTATGGCTTACGACAAAAAAAAAGTAACAGCATTTCCCGTTTACACACGTATCTCAAACTACCACATAGATATAAATTCTTATGATTATAACACATACGCTCAGATGATACAATAAACAAGAAATTTCTACTTCAAATAGCAGTCGTGGTGGCTTTTGACATCAGATAATGCAATGGTCCAACTGGGTTAGGCAAAATATGATAATGTCTCTCCTTCATTTAAGAATATGTAGTGTATGTATAGTTTCTCCCGTTTTTTCTTTATTTAGAGAGAATAACAAGGTTTGTAGACAGTAATTATATCGCAGTAAGTAGACTTTTAGTAAGCAGTCTTTTAGTTTTAGTGCTATAGTGCGTGTTAGATGCAATGAAAATCTCTGTATGATTTAACGCATGTGCTAGAATTGAATGCTCCGAAATGTGTTTGATTAAATACTTACGACCAAAAAAATTGTTGTATGTTGGTAGAAGCAAATTAATTTTAAAAGTAAACTGTTGTAAGAATATACTTAAAATAGTTCTAGACAATGATTGGTTTATTGCAATAAAGTTTATGTGTTATTGCAAGTTTCATTGAGCAGTAGAAAAGCTGCAATTGCACTGCGAAAATGATAATTGCATAGTGGTCAATACTGTAATACTGTAACCTGGTAAATAGGCAGTAGGGTGAGAAAGCCAAACATGCTTATTTTCAATAAAAAAAAAAGAAAATAAAAAACAAACAAACAAATACGGCGGCAGGTGATTGTAAACAAAAATTTCCGTTATTGCATTCGTGTGAAATTTAAGAATGACAAAGCAATTTAAAATATAAACAAGACAGCAAGTACCGTGTTTGAAGTAAATATATTTAAATTTTGGACGCAAATAATGCACCAGAAACATAAGAAAAAGTTATGTCAAACACATACATAAGTTACAATTAAAAGTTACTAGCCTATTTGCAATTCCCTAGAAACAATACTGAAAAAAAGAAATTACAGCTAAACCTTTTTGTATCTAAACCAAAACGCATAAATACTGTATACTGAGCACGGATTAATTATCGACCAGATTGCCAGAAGCAAAATGCCAAATACAAAATAGCGCCCGTTATAGAGTAGAGATCAACTTGAAAGTTAAAATGTACGACATAAATATGTAAACAATGAAAATATTTTTTTAGTAGAGGAGTTTTCGCGTAGCATAAATGCTGATGAAATATATTTTACTTATATTATTTAAGGAGCAATTCTTAAAAATGCCCAAGTTATAGCTACCTCTAAATTCCTTCGTAGATCCAACCCGTATCCTTTATCATAGGAAACATGAGAGTAATAATCCTCGGTGTCCGACCAAAACCCAAAATAAGAATCAAAACCTCTAAACGTCGGCGTGTACTCTTTTGCAAAGAAACCTAAATGCCACTGTAAGTTGAAAAAAAAATTAGCAAATTACAAAACCATACGTATGTATAACAACATTAACCAATGACAAACAAAAAAGTTTTAACTTTGAGGAAAATGATTGAACTGTCGCTTTGAATAGCCGTTCTTAGTCAAATTTGTACATAATCCGCATTTCAAAAACAGGTGCCTTCATACAATCCTCTTCATTAGCAATTATCGAAAACCAGCATGTAAGCACAAGTGGTTTTAAACTTTAAAGTATCTTTAGTTGTAATTATAAGTAAAAATACTATGTCCTATTGCATTTTGATGTTATACCCACTCAAGCATGGGTATAAAATATATCTTCAAGATCAATCAAAAAATGAATAAAATTAAGAAACAAAATTAAGCGCAGGCATAATCTTGCGCAACATTTTGAATTGAATAGCTTTTGTTTGGAAAAGAACGAGGTTATTTGTTGTGAACAATTGATGACGTACCTTGCCTACTCCATGAGCGCGGTAACCCAGTTCCCGTAGTCGATTAGGCAGTAGTGTCTCGCTAAGTGGTAAGCCACTTGGTTGTAGGTTGTGAAAATCATCATGTTGTAATCCTAATTCGAGAAAAAAAATAAGAAAATGATTTAATTTAGAACTCTGACAGGACGCATCTAATGTTGAAATGGAGACGCCAAGTAGGTGCATTTTAACGTGCGAGAAAATTAGGGCATTTTTATCTTGTCACAAAACTAAGGTTTTAAAGACAACGTTTAACGTCTAATATGATCGATTAAAAGTGATTTTGGCTCTTGGTCGCTATTCTAATAAAAAGTAAAATGAATTATTTTGAATGGGGGAGTGCCTTATAAAATTGTAATACAAGAATTTTCTCAGCAAATTTTAGAGATTGTCCAAACGTCACACAAATTTGGACACGGAAATCTGATTTAGGAATCTCTTCAGCAATGCCAACGTACAAGGACTTAAAACAATTAATAAATAAAAAAAAAAGGGGGGGGAGGCGCTACAATGCACAGATTACTAAAACACGATAAAAAAGTTGATGATGAAAGTACGTTTACCAAATAACACAAGAAGGTTTAACAACTGTCGGATTAGTCGACATTATGCAGATGTCTTTAGTAAAGTTCACATCCAGAGTCTATATTTTCTCGTGTTAATTGTAATTTTTGGAAAGCGTCTCAATACTTTGAATGATTACAATAAGATTATCAACTGTATAATAGATGATAAAGCAGTATTGATGTTTCGACTACTGAGATAATTCATTAATTATTTGATTTAAAAAGAAAGAGTCCAACATATGGGTTATTCATGCGCGTAATTGATGATCGGAAACAGCAATAAAGTCGCAAAACGCCACTTGAAACATGTGTCATCCTTGACTATATTTGCAAAAATTGCACAAGGTACATAAAAAGGACAGTTATCAATTTGTTTCAAAAATTTCCGACGTAACAAACTTACCCAGATGACTTGCATATTTTCCAGTCATGAACGCTGCTCGACTTGGAGTGGAGAGCGGCGAGACGTAGTAATTATTGAGAATAACACCCTCTCTAGCTAGCTTATCTAGTGTTGGAGTTAGTATTTGATTAGATCCATGAAAACTGACATCATCCCAACCCTAAACAATAATATGTAAAACATAAATGATGAAATGATACATACGAGGAAGGTTTATTTTGTTAGTGAGGAGGGGAAGGGAGGGATTGTTTAGTTAAATTGGTGTATATGATGGAAATGTTCGTTACTTACAAGATCATCTGCGACCACCATGATAATATGTGGTTTGGTATTAGTTGAATGAACAAATGATAACAAAAGTGACACAAAAACACAAAATACTTGTCCCATCATCGTCATGGTGTGTACTAGAAAAAAAACATTACTGTAGTCGACCAGCATGAATCTGTCTTAAATGACGTTTCGTTTTAAAGCACAGGTTTCCAAGAGCTATATATGATAAACTCCTCTTCGAAGATTCTGAAACAACTGGTCACTAAAAGAGACCTTTTTTAAAGCGCGACTCTGAATGTTTTAGAAAAATACTTTAATATTTCTTTAGAAACAGTTTTAAATTAGTTTACGATAGAGGTTAACAAACTAGGGTGGAGCAAAAACCTACATAAAGTTGTTTTGCGTCTTTTTAATGTGTTATTGAAGTGTAAGGAAAGGCAACGATATTGATACTTCTTATCCAAACCAGTAACTAATGCACGTACAAACTTTCTAACAAAGAAATCCAATAAAGAATATAGATAATATAAGTTGATATGGGCTTAGATGCAGACATAAGTGAATATATCTTTATTCAAAGATATCTGTACACAAGCGTGCCGTCCAATGCTAGCTAAATTGATTTAGCAGGACATGAAGCACTAGTATTATTGGTGGGCTTCGGAGCATTCAAAATGGCAATGAAAAACTCTTATTACATATTACTGCACTATTGTTGAACTTTTTTAACGAAAGCAATCGTATTTTTTCCTGCTTTATTCCTCTAAATAGTTGCACGGATTTTTGTGGACTTCAAAAATGGTAAGAAATGTGCATGTAACTAATAGACTAAGGTGATTCGCTTCTATGTTATAAAGATGCCTGTAATGAAACACATGGCAAGACATGCGGAAAACTCCGCCATAGTGAATCATCGAATGCAATTGCGACATTAAACGAATGTTGTTCACCGAGTTGAAACCTAAACTGACACTTCGAAATTTTTTGGTTGAAGAGAAAATAAATGAAATTTAGAAGTACACATTGAAGACATCCCAATTTTCAGAGATGATCGTGCAACTCTAGTAAAAGTTGTAAAAGATATTGGGCTGTTTAAAGTTGCATTTGAATGTTGCACGTGCTATTAGAGTTAAAAGAGAAGTAAAAAAAGACAAAAGCAAGCCTTCCAAAAAAAGTACTAAAAACAAAAAAGTATCTTCATAACATATACCTAGCTATTGCCTGAAAAAATTATGCATACACACTTTGTTGCTACTTGCAATTTTTGCGTTAAACCTATTACACTTTACAACGACGAGAGCTGCAAACTACAAAATCTTCTTTGTTGGCTAATATTAATTATTAACCAAATAGCAGGTAGTATTATTTACAGAGCAACAGGCTATGTAGAAACTTCCTTCTACTAGTAATGCGATAAAATATCTTTTTATGACAATCAGATGTACTTTGATGTTTCCAAAAAACTTGATTAGCGCAATTCAAGAGTGGAAATACAATCTGATAACTACAAATATCACAAATCGTAAATAAATACAATGAACATTTCACGTACATTCATGTACATATCATAAGTAAGTTCATGCGATGTGCTAATCAAACCTAAAACAAAACCAGCTTAAATTATAACTAACATGTCTATGTATTTGAACTGACCGATACGACGCAACAACTAATGTTATTATGTACATGTTGTTTAGTTAAAGAGTTAGTTTGCGACTTATGCCTAAGATTTTGTTAACAGATTTTATCATTAAACTATATAAAGACTGGTTTCAACATTCTTTAGTAAAACCGCTTATTAATTCAGTAGTAAAACTGCTTATTAATTCAGTAGTAAAACCGCTTATTAATTCAATCCTTATAAAAAGAAAAGTTATCAAGGCGCGATCAACAAAAGTAATTATGAAAACTGCTTGTTGCATGCAAATAGGCCAAGTCACTTGCAATAGTTACCTTTCGTGAAATTACCAGAGTTTTATAGACGTTTTCGCATTTACGTTTTCATATTTTCCCAATGAGTCAGACTTAAATCACCGGCCACGTAGTCTTCACGCTTCTATGGTTGCAGGATTTATGAAACAAACGAAAAGCAATTTCAATTCTGTTTAGTACGATCACTAAATTAACAGGTGGTGGGTTTTGCTTGAGAGAGCGAATTCAACAGGTAGTATGAACGCTGTTAGATTTCGCACAAAATATGCCAAATGAAGCGGAACTGTTCGACCTTGTACATAATTTCGTCGGAGTCCCAAGAACCGGGATCTACCTACACGAAGAATACAAATAAAAAAAAACACATCGCGTTAAGATTTGAGCTAAAAATTAATGAAAGCACTTCAACAAAGCAAGTACATTTTTGGCAATATTTGAAAAATGAAAAATTAAGCACAGTTGAGGAATTTCTTGATTGGATTGGTAACTTGAAAACCATGCAAATAGCTACATCATATTTACACTATTCTAACGCCTTTAATAAAAGCGATGCTATAATGGTGATGCATGTATACAAAAGCATTTTGTACAAAAACAATCTGTAAAAGACAAGGGTAGCACAGCCCGTTGCTATTGCCAGCTTCAATATGCTTTTTGGCGCTAGTTTGGATAACAAACTTGTTGGAAAAAGAAGACCTTTTGACGAATATTATGCATGGGAAAAGTAAATACAAATCAAACGGACTCTGTTAACAAGGGTTGATCGAATAGCCTTGATGCACAAGCAAGTTGCAACCAACTCCCAAAAGTTTCGTGAATTCGTATAAAAAGTCGTGTTTTGTCAATTTAACTTCAAAATTTGCGTTAACATGTCAGACAATTGTACAGTAATAACAGATGTTCACTATAACAATCAAAATCCTTAAGTAATTTGGCCCCAATTAAATGTTGAAACAATTAACCTATGTCGTTTCGCATTTTACAAATTTTGCAAAGATTTCCCATTATTACAGTGAAAATATCCTAAAACACAAAAAACAAATTAGCGTTACGAACAACAAAAATTACACTTCATTTAACAAAGGGTGAACACATAAAAATGATCGTTCAGCCATCTTGTGTACACAGTGTTTTAGAAAGTATAATTTTAAGGTTGGATTAATTGACCAGCTGTCGGTGACGATAAGTGAGTGACTGACGAAATAACACCAGCCACGATTTCAGTGAACCGTAAAGTAGGTTTACAAATTTCAAATGTTTTACCCGCTGAGATGAAAGTCGCAAAACAAAACAAAAAATACTAAATAGGATAACCAAACATTTTAAATGAATAACCTGGGTGATTTTATATTTCTTTCTTTAAAAAGGAAGCTAAGTGTGACAGTATGAGCTAAATTAGGTCCTTCAATGAGAAATTTCCGTAAAGAAAATGACGTTCATAAAGTATAGTTCTCATTCATCATAAAAAGTCGGCGATACCCCCATTAACGACATCTTATAAATTAATGAAAACGCATTGAAAATTGTGTTTTGTTAACAATTTTTCGTTATAGAAATCATCGGCATTAAAATTGCAAGAAACAAATAAGTTTTTTTGCAACAAATACATATTATCGGTGACAAGCCGTCGGCGATGGTTTACGACGTTGTGGCAATGTATGAAAACTACGTATAGACTTAAGATTTAAAGGAAGTTGTCATTCGCACTATAAATGGTAGCAATGTACACTTACAATAACAACACCTTGTAACGAACTTTTCATCAATTTCATTTTGAACGATACAAGTGTAAATATACATGCCAAAACATGTATAAATTGTCTATTTTAGTGCATGCTGTCCAGAAAAGAACGGCTTCAGTATGTAATGACGTTTCGTCGGTAATCATCATATGATGTTCTGTTTATCAACTAGATTTCATGAGCTCTATGTGGTAATTTGCGAGTGTAAAAATATTTCTGTATTTTATTTCTGCACTTCATGTAATCTGGACAAGTGGCACTGCACCATGACTTTTAAAAATCATGCAGATCTTGCTGACAGCAAATTAACATTAAGACTTTGAAGTCAGTATTATAGCGGGAAAACACCGCAAAAATTTTCAAACAAACTCAAGAAGACAAGACTTCATAATATACAGGGGGTTAGAAACAATTAGCCCTTTACGTAAAATTATGACTCCTTACATAATGTACCCCTGTCAGGAAAAACTTATTTGCCATATAAAACTAGGAGTATTGCAAAACGTATTGGTAAAAATTTTTTAATTTGATCAAATCATCTTCTTGTTAATGGATGTTTGAAGTTGCCTTTTTTAATGGATCTTCGTGGCATGAACTCTGGATCAAACCAGATTCTGACGTTATCCAAGGTAGTTGGTACGTATAGATTATAGAATCTCGTGCGTGCCATCACAAAGTAAGTTGCACCAGACTTTTCAAACGATGGGAAAGGTTCATAGAAATGAACATTTTTGCCAACTTTAAATAGCCATAAAATTGGTACGATTCGACAAATTAAAAATATTTTTCACTGATACGTTGGAAATTACATCTAAATTTAACATCGCAATTAAAAATTTTTGCCGAAACTGGCACTTTAAAGTGATCAACTGATTCACTTGACTGGATTAAAAACTGTCACATTTTTCGTAGTCTGCGCATAATCTTTAGTAAAAATACGTGGCTAAGAGAAAAAATTTTAAGTCAAAGCTACGTACCCAGCTAGCACCAACGTTAACACAACGTTGTTTTTTAGTTCTATGAAAGTGAACTAAAGTAAACTGAGGTATGCAAGGGGTAGCTCTTCCAAACTTGGTAAAGGACCTGCAGGATATAAGAAAAAGCAATTGTAACTTGTGTCGAATGAGTAATGTGTTTCCCAGTAAAAGTATAAAACAAACAGAATAAAAAAAGTCTGACATATGACATGGACATAATCAAAAATTACCCGCAAAAATCTTATGTACATATGTATTGCTCTGGAGCCCATTTTTTACTCCTACAGTGCAAATATTTTGTCAAGTTTGCATTTGGGTGAAAATTTTGCACCATAGGATTAAAAGTTTGGCCTGGCTCTAACAATGCATGTGATGCAAATTTCGCACCATTTAAGGTTTGGGTATACAAAGATTCTGTTTCATTTATGTTTGTTAATTTAAGAGATAATGATTGCTCAATCAATTTTTAGTCTAAAGAGCCATTCAACACTTCAAAATTTTTTTAGTGAATTTTGTTACCACAACAGCAAGACAGGCCATAAAGAAAGTACGAAGACAAAAGCAGCAAAGGGCTGAAGATGTGGTCCTTAAAAAATTAAGGAAAATTATGTGCAAAGGAGCAATTTTTAGTACATTTTCATTAGCTTTTAGTGCTCAAATTATCATTCAGTTATTAATATGGTAGAAAACCTTATTATTAAGTTTAATCGACTTTCAAAACTCTAGAATGAAACAATGGATCACACTAATGAAAAATGTTTTAGAAACATCATTTTGAAAATTAAATTAAGACATTATTATATTATTTAAATTTAATTTTTTTAAAATTTTATTATAAATTCAATAGATACATACACCTTACAGTTCAAAAATTAAGAAAAAAACCCAAAGAGTATAATTCCATGTGCCATAAAAAGTGCTGTCTATCACAGTATTTCACACAGGAACATAAAGTAATTGCTGAAACACCTTAAGAAGACTTTAAAGTGAACGATCCCGAAGGAACTAGAAAGTTCAAATTGATTTCTAGTTCCAAAAGAAGTCGTCCTATCTCGGTTAAAATCGATGAAAAGAGTGAAACAAACACCCTGTATTGTTATTAATATACGTATATTTATGTACATACATTTCCACACTGGTTTTACATAAGAAAAGGCTTGTTTTGTAAAATTTCATACATGCTGCTCATTTCAGTTCAAATTTTATGAACTATTTAGCTCCATATTAATAGAAATAGTATCAATGACCACAAGAGATTGTATAGAGATTACTTTCTTATCAGAAATTTTATCGGGTTTTAAGGGTTTATCTGTTATTATTTAAAGTGAATAAAAGTCTTCAAATACACTGTATAATATGTACTATTAATATTTATTGATGTATGTATATAATTACCACATTGGTTTTACATTGAAATGTATTCCAGCCTTAAAAACCCAATAGTGGTCTATGTAGTTTAATTTTGACAAATAAGTTTGCAATGTCTTTATGTACATGTATAATTATATACGTAGATGTATAGTTTCTATTGAAAAAAGTAATATAGAGAGCTGGGGAGACTCGAGTCTAAAGTAAACCAAACATCTTCAATTAATCAATTAATCTTTGATTCATATCATTATTGTGCCTTAATGCAGTCTTCCCTTAATGCTCATTTGGTCTTTTTTATGTTTTTGCCATGTTATATGTAACATTGTGAAGTGTAAACATCGAGGACATGTTCGAAAATGGCAAAGCAGAATCGATTCGTTGAAGTGAACAAGATCTACCTAATTTTACATCCGATTACGCATTACGTATTTTGTAACTACTGGTTTTGCAAAAAGTCAAGTTTAGCATACTTACCTAAATTGATACATTCTGTTTCTGACTAGTGTTGCAGATAAACGTAATTAGCAAATTTTAATTAGCAACATTTTAACAAACAAACTCCGAAAATTCGCGTTTTAGTAATATCCAGCAGGGTATACTTCATGTAAGGTCGGTAACAAGTTTTGCTGTTTTGCATATCCTGAAGATAATCGGTGTTGTGTGATTTCTGTTCTTTCTTTATTTTGCTATTCCCTGGAATAATAGGTGACTAAGGTGAGAAGGAGTTCGGGTTTTTATTTTACAATTATATTATCCATATTGTAGTTTTAATTTGTGTTTTGAGTAGAAAATAGTTTTTTAAAACTCTTTCTTTAAAATTTGCAGAAAGTGCAATTACAATTTAATTGTCCATAGGACCATAGCACTTAATATTTTTATTATTACAAAATTAAAAAAGCGTGAAATTTAAACAATGAAATGAGGTATTAAATAATTTAATTATCAAAGTTATCAATGATATTATGTCAAAGAAGACAAAATGAAAGCTAAAAACAATATATGTATATATTTCAACCTTAACATTTTGTACCTTGTTGCCATACTTTTTAAGAGGTTTTTTCTATCGAAGTATAATGTATTTAATTAAATTACCGTAAGTACAATCTAGAGTTGTTTGATATTTAATGTACTAATCATTTGGTCTTTAGATTTTATTGTTCATTAATTAAGATGTATTGATATCGTCCAGGTTGGTATAGTCCTGAGAAGGACTGTTTTGTTGTTGTTGACTGACGTTTGACAACCTTACGGTAGTCGTCTTCAGAATGAGAGACTCTGAAGATGACTCAGCTAAGGTTGTCGAAATGTCAGTCAAAACAGTCCTTCTCAGGACTATACCAACCTGGACGATCTACATTTACAAACATGTAACAATACTCCCGGGTTCAAACCATTTATTTTATGTATAAATCTGTAACTTTGAATTATTCAATAGCTTACTGTCGTATGTTAGAAGATTTTTCTGTAAAGTACTTGCTTTAGTTGTAAAATATATCACATAGAAGTTTTCATGTTCATTTATGTGTTTATTTTCTTTATGTTTTAAAGTCTTAAAGCCTTCTAAGCTGATGTCATTTATACCTGGTGACTCCTTGCATAGCTAGTATATTTACAACTGGCAACCTTATATTTTTATATGCCTTAACTCTTGAAGGAGGCCAATTCTTAAAATTTTAACATAAATTAGTGCAAATAAGTATTTTGTATGACCAAAATTTCTTGCTAGAGTATTTTCTTAGCAAGCAAATGACATTTAAATGTCCTTTATTAAGCATTGATGTGGGGATAAGAATGAATCCAGCACAACTAAATAACTTCGTAAAAGCAGTATTGCTAATGCGCATTTAATATACACAACAACTTTTTTTAGAATAGACATGTTTCGACATTTCATGATGCCATCTTCAGTATGTTCAAGTTTTTAAATTTAATACAATATTTAGTTTATAATACGCTCCGACACTATCCATTATTTTATCTTATTTCCTTTTTATTGTTATAATTTCTGTATCATATTACTTGTATATAAACCTTGTATCATTTATTATCTCACTCATACTGAAGATGGCATCATGAGATGTCGAAACATGTATTCTAAAAAATATCATCGTGTATATTAAATGCACAACTAAATAACCTTATGCGTGCAGCATGTGCATTAAAGAGTAACAGCTGAAGTGAGATATCCATAAAAAAGACACAAACTATTATTTAATTTTTCAAAAAACAAATTTGCTGTATAGTTATAATAAACCTCCCCCTCATTGATTTACTTGTCTCACAGAAATATTGTTTTTTGTCACATATGCAAGGTACTTAATTGATCCACCCATACTATATAACTTATAAATTTTTCCTATTAAGTCCTTTCTTTGTAGCACAATGTTTTAAAAGGAATTTTTTATTTGCTGACCTCTGTTAATTTACATCATTGCATAAAGTGCACTTTGTAACTCATACTTCGATTGTTATAACTCTGGATATGTAGCACACGTAACTCGCATATGAAAGCAAGACCTATTCTTTATGTCCCGTAGAGAAGATCTTGGCTTCAAGTGTGTCTTAACACCATTGTCAATTTTTTCTGATGAAGAAGAATGTAGTTTTTTGTTTTTAGTGGTTTTGTTTTTTAAGGCTACCATCTTCGAAAATAAGAATTATTAAACTCTCTGTTCTGCTAAAGAGGTAAAAAATTATTTGTTTCAAGGCTTTGACAATCAGTCAATCCCCCCCCCCTTCTTCCCCCTTACGCCTTCCAGCACCTAGGCGTGAATGTGTGGGAACGGAGAAACTTCAGCTGTGAAGTTTAGATAATTTTACTAGATTTTATCTGTTGTTTTATATTGTTTTAATGCTCATAATATATTGCAGAAAACATTTAATGGCCGAACATGTTGGGAATGGTTGTGAATTTCGTGAAGTAAAAGGTGATTTGTTTAAGTGTGACAAAGACTTCTCCCTCGCACATTGTGTGAGTGCTGATATGCATATGGGAAAAGGAATTGCAACGGTATTTAAAAAAATGTTTGGGGGCATTGACGAGTTGCGCAGACAAGGTGGGAAACAAGGAGGTGTCTCGATCCTTAAGAGAGATGAAAGATTTATTTATTATTTGGTGAGTTTTACCTATAGTACTGAGAAGTATTCCAACAGTTTTACGTATCTAGCAACTTTAATTTTGTAACGACTTTTAATTGTACATCTGGCTCTTTCACACTTTTCAACTGCAATTAAGTGTTGTTTTTATCGGAATAAAATATCAAATGTACTTAAGTACAAGCTAGGTTGTTTGGTTTACTGCTTTTTTAGATGGTCAGCTGATTTTAATCTCAATTTCGTTGAAGTTGCGCTGGAAAGTGCGTGTTATGAAAAAAGAATCTGACCTTAATATGATAATGTAAAGCACACATTTGTAGGAGTTTACTTGAGCTATTTAATCACAAAGTTATTTTTTTTCTCGAGATGAATTGTATTTATACGTTCTAAAATAACCCTTTAAAACCACGGACGCTGATTGTTAGAATGCTCGAAAGAAACTCTATAATACACGACAACTTTATTTACGTACGCAAAAATCTTGCAGGTTGCCTAGTTTTCAACAGAAATTTTAATAACGCTGAATTCAATATGAAAATTGCTAAATTTACTATTTTCATGCTGTTTTTTAATAGAAATAGAAAACATGTTGTCTTGTGCCTTTTTTGATGTGTATTTTTACGAACAAAAATTTATAGGGGCTTAATTTGTCATGTTGTACATTAAAGTGGTACCGCACCTTATTCCTTATTGTACACCCACAAAATATACTCAAACCCCTACAATCAAGATTTTTAATTGTTTCAAGTTAACTAATTATACTTCTTAATTTTTGCAGATTACCAAAGAAAAATATTATTATAAACCAACCTACGAAACATTGAGAAACTCGTTGAAAGCAATGGCTAAACATTGTCAAGAAAACAATGTACGGAAATTGGCCATGCCTCGTATAGGTTGTGGTTTAGATCAACTGGACTGGATTATAGTACGAAATATTGTCAAAGAGATATTTAAAGATATTAACGTCAATATTGTAATATATTCATTATGATTGAAATTACCTATACATGTAGCATTTTCATTATTTCTCCAAGATTTAAAGAATTTAGTATTAGCAATCAATAGCAAGTGCTCTACTGAGAAGTTACCATTTGGCGGTATAGTGCAAATGTAATATGCAGTACTGCTCAGATGTAAATTTACAGAAAACACGTTCCGAACTCGTTCCAAAATGCGTTCCAGTTGCGTCCCAATTGCGGTGTTCCAAGTTCGGCTTAAGCTGGAACGCGTATCAAAAGCGTTGTTTGCCGCTTCCTTTCATTGATCTGTAAATCATCATTTATACTCGCTATACACACTGCAAATTCTTCAAAACTTCTCCAGGTATTTTTTCCTCATTTTAAGAAAAAAATTCTAGTAATAAGAAAAAATTTCTTGATTTTGGATTTCACTTCTTAATAACAGGAAAATTTATCTTAGCAAGAATACTTATCTCGGTGCGATGAGTGATATATCTTGTATTAAGAAATTATTTCTTATATGTGAGATTATTTATCTTATGATCTTACCAATAAGACAAAATGACTAGTTTTAAGATATTTTCTTTAACACACTAGGTCATCTATATTTGGCCAATGAAGCATTGAAAACATTGCTTTAAGATTTTATTCCTAAAAACAAGATAATTTATCTTAGCCAGAAAGTTAAACTTGGTTTAAAAAGTGATGTAGCATGCAACAAGATTTTATTTCTTAAACATGGCATTATCTTTAATTTCACAGATAAAAATCTTGTTTCGAGATTCTATTTCCCAAATAGGAAGTCACTTAATTGGCATACCTTACTTGTATTAAAATTCGCGCAGTACTAGAATTCGCGCAGCGTTGAGTGCGCGAATTTTAGTACTGCGCGAAATATAATCCGCGCGAAAAGCTTCGTAGTGTTACATGAGACATTCATTGTTGGTTATGCAAATCAGTTGTTTTATTAACGCATATACATATTGACATATGTTTTTAGTTGTCCTGGTAACATTAAAAATCAAAAATGTCTTCATTTTCATCCTGTACAATTTCAGTCGGGATATTCTCAGGTTCTACGTAGTATTCCGTCACGAATGCCTGCATTTTGCTGTATATCCTAAAACTTGCATTGTTCTGCATGACTATTAGGGTAATAGGAATCTCCAAGCCTCCTTGTGGTAATGGGGATCGACAAAATTTGATGTCACACACACATGCTTCTATATTCAAAAAAGAACTTGCAAAATCGGGATAGTGAACTCACGCTTTATTTTGAAGTCATTTTTGAGGCCACCCAATCGCTTTTTTGATGAATATTGAGGTATTTCTTAATAAAGAAAGCTCAATATAAATGCGTTAATTATTATTAGTTCTTTTGAACAAACCAAAAAGAACGAGCACACAAAACTACTTGCGCGAATTTAAAGCTGCGCGAATAATTGTCAACAAAGTGCGCGAAATTAAATCGCGCGAATTTAAAGCTGAGCGAAAATGAGTACGACTCGAATTTTAATACAAGTAAGGTAAATAAGAAAACTAATCTAGACCTCCAAAAAAAAACATTACTTTGTTGAACATAGGTTTATTAATTTGATAAAAATAAACTCATTTTCTAGTAAATATTTGTATCAAGCCTTGATTAAGTGATTTAATGAACGTAAATCTTACATCTTATCAAGCACTCAAACCTTTTAGAACAATGTAATTGCTTTATGTAAGATTTTGTAAATTGAACTCAATTTATAGAGTCATACGTAGCTTTAAGTCTCCACATACAGTTAAAAATTGAAAAGGTTTTCCCTTATCACGTGCTGCTCCATAATTTCTTTTAGATCATACTTAATACCTATGTAGAACCCAGAATTTAGTTCAACCACATGGTAAATGTTGAGATAAAGAATTACATCATGCAAACAAAACTCAGTGGTTAAATTAGGAATTTGATGTTTCTTGTTTTAAGGAAAAATTTACTTAAGATAAATTTTCTTGCTTAGAACATTTTCTTGTTTTAAGAAATTTAGTAAGATAATTTTCTTATAATAGGGACAAGATAATATTTCTTGTTTTAAGGAAAAATTTACGTAAAACTAGTATTTTTTCTCTTGAAATAAGTTTTGATGAATTTGCAGTTCAAGTGCTCAATTTCGGAAGCTTCAATGTTATACCGAGTTTATTTAAACAATCTGGAGCGCGTTCAGAACATGTCCCCGAATTTTCTTGGAATTAAAGCGTTTGAAACGCAAATGGAACGCGAACGCAGTGTTAAGTTACATACTTCTGAATAGTTATGTATTTTTATGATTTTTGTTGATTTTGGGTTTTGACTCTAACATTTGAATACTGTTTTGTATTATTAAGATATTGGAAAAATTATATAAGCAGCAAAGAATGCAGGGGGGTGGCCAATTTAACCAATAACATTCTTGTGCTGAAAGAATGTTATTCAATTTAACTAAAAGATTCTTGTGCTGAAAGAATCATATCTTCATTTGAAGATTCTTGTGCCTTGATTCTCTAAACTTGAGGCATATTAGGCCCTCGGATACGTAAAAGACTAATCCCATCAACAACCGTGCACTTCTTTTATCTTTTGGTCTACTTAGAGAACTTTTTACTCAATTTTTCGCCAACTGAAAATGAATATTGTGCCTTTTTCTCAGATCATCCTTCATGGTCATGCATTGTTTTCTATCACACTTCCTATTTTTTATTGACTTTCGTAAAGTTGTGGTACAATGCTCTGATAAAACATTTACTTTTACACTCTTTCTTTTAATTGTTAGTATCGACCTGCACCCTCCTAGTGGTTTTTATTTAGGACACAGAAGTATTTCATTTGCCTCCGCGCCATATTAAGCAAAGAAAATTTGTATGAAAAGTCCAACCATCAGTTATTGTGGTCTGTATCTACTTTAAGATTCACTTTCAATCCATTGGAAGCTTGGATTTTAAGTTTTCAACCACCCCTCACTGCCAGCATGACTTGTACGGCTATGGAGAAAACTTAATTTCCAGAAATCTATCGCTGTCTACTTTCAGCAATTCTCGAATTGTCATCATACAAAGGTAAACGGTTGAAAATTGCCTTCTGTAAGGCTACTGCAGAACACGAAATCCGTCATCAGATACCAAATTGTATCTTTTTGTTATAAAGGACATTTCGTAAGCAAATGCGTTTACTGTGTCAAGGTCCCCCTTAAAACGACGATTTTTGGAAAGTACTGCATTTGCAACGTTATAAATTTTGTGTATTGGAAACAAACTTTATGAATAAATGCCTTTTCACTTTTTTAAAAATCATTTCAAGGTTAAATAGTTGGAATGTTATCAAACAAAAGGAATGATAGCATAATGCTTTAACCAACAGCTACAAACAATTACGACCTTATCTAACAACATTTGAGGAAATTAGCCTTCCACTCCTCTTCCTTGTAAACGAGACAAGTCTACTCAAAAGCAGAGTGCCTTATACGCTACAAGTCCCGGGCTTGTGATTGGTATAGGAGAGTTAAAAGGAGAAAGGTTTATCATAGATTAATCAACTGAATATTCCTGCTTATTTTTGTTTGGAAGCATGCTAAACAGTTCATATAGAAAAAGCTCGAATTCCATATGTTAATAAACAGTAACATAATCCGGTGTTAATGTTAGACATTACATTATTCATTGCCCTTCAGTAAAGCATCCCGCTTTCCAAAGGAAAAGAATGAATCTAATATCGATGTTAAATATAGATTGTTACAAGCATCCTGTTTAGCATCCTGTTTAGCATGAGATTTGTGGTTTAGCATGCTTCCAAACAAAATATTCAGGAATATTCAGTTGATTAATCTATGAAAATCCTTTATAAATATTTATAAAGAAATAATCGATACACTGGAGGTTTGCTTTGTTTTATCGTTTGTGCTTCTTTTCCTCAAAAATTTTGGTTAAATGTTATTATTCCAAAACAATTTATTCTTAGGATGATTTTTATTCCGTTGCTCACGCAGTTTAATTTGTCACACATCAAAAGAAGTATATCTTGTTTACGTACAACACAGATTGTGTCGGAGTTTAGTAAAATTCGATCTTATAAATCATCATTGATAACAGGTTCGTAATATAAGGCCCAAACATCATTCGTTTTTTTATTTTTTTTAGGTTGTTAACCAATTAATTCACCGATGATATAAATGATTTTGCTCGTTTTAAATAATTATACTTAGTTTATAAATCATGAGCATTCACGAAATACAACAAAAATATCTTGGCTACAAATTGCGTGTATATATAAATTAATACAATTGCTTTGCATAGCACGGGTTTAAAGAAGCAGAATGATTACACCTCTATGTATCATGTACTTTGTTAACACCTTCAAATTTGCAAATTAAGATTTAAATTGTTGACTTGATGCCTGAAATCTTTAAAAAAATTTAGGTGAACCTTGCAAATGTGAAATCTTAAATAAATGGTTCAAAATTTTTTATCATATTTCAAAAAAAAATTATATAGCATAATGCTATAACCAACAACTACAAACAATAACGACCTTATCTAACAACATTTGAGAAATTAACCTTCCACACCTCTTCTTTGTAAACGAGACAAGTCTACTCAAAAGCAGAGAGCCTTATACGGTACAAGTCCCGGGCTTGTGATTGGTATAGGAGAGTTAAAAGATGAAAAGATTATCATAGATTTATCAACTGAATATTGCTGCTCATTTTTGTTTGGAAGCATGCTAAACAGTTCATATGGACAAAGCTCGAATTCCATATTGAATAAACAGTAACATAATCCGGTGTTAATGTTAGACAATACATCATTCATTGCCCTTCAGTGAAAGCATCCCGCTTTCCAAAGGAAAAGAATGAATCTAATATGGATGTTAAACATAGATTGTTGTAAGGATCCCGCTTGCCGATATGTGTAAGTATAATCACAAGGTGAAATAGTTGGAATGTTATTAAACAAAAAGAATGATAGCATAATGCTATAACCAACAACTACAAACAATAACGACCTTATCTAAAAACATTTGAGAAATTAACCTTCCACACCTCTTTGTAAACGAGACAAGTCTACTCAAAAGCAGAGAGCCTTATACGATACAAGGCCCGGGCTTGTGATTGGTATAGCAGATTTAAAAGGTGAAAGGTTTATCATAGATTAATCAACTGAATATTGCTTCTCATTTTAGTTTGGAAGCATGCTAAACAGTTCACATGGACAAAGCTCGAATTCGATATTAAATAAACAGTAACATAATCCGGTGTTAATGTAATGCGCACTAAATAAAAGTCGGTGTTGGCGTTCAAACCATTATAACTGACACACTGCTTTTTAGAAAGATGGCGTTTAATTACTTCGCAATTAGATCAATATTTGTCGTATTTGTACTCTCTGCTTTCCAAAGGTAAGGAGTAAACTAATTTTTATACGATTATACTATATTAACTAATTTTTATGCAGTTAGCAGTGGTAATGAAATTTAAAGTCAATTTAAGTACAATTATATCTATTGAACTCTATCTGTTTCTTCCATTACTATAAATTTTATCCGAAATTAATTTAATTTTCTTCTAATTAAGCTAATGTGAAGACAAACATCATTCCATAAGATAGCTAGCAATTTTAAGTTTTTAACATTCACCTTTACCGTTCATATTAATTTTATTATTTGTATGTTTTGTGATAGAACACAGGATTACAATAATTGTCACAAAGTTTTGTAAGGATGTTGACCACGAAAGTTGAGGTGTTTTTTTGTCTTTAGAGTGTTTATGCTCATTTTTAAGCAAAGTCATAAAACAGAAAGCAAGTTAATTAAAAACAAGAGTTATTGTACATGTGGTCGAAATTTAGTTTTCGAATAATCTGCTGTATAAACATAATTTCTTGTGAGCTAAAGGAATGTTCTTTCTGGTTCTTTCACTCGTTTCGGCTCATGTATAAACAAAGCAATGGATGTGAGGTGTTTCTGTGAAGATGTCGCTGGTCGTACTTTTATTTTTATTTGCATATATGAACAGTTTCTGAGCTTTTTAACATTTTGTTACTCGCTAAACTCACTGCTCGATTGCGTTGGTGACTGAATATAAGTATGGCAACCATTCCTGCTTTCTCAGAGTATGCCGTGTTAGCTCGTATTCATAAAATTCGCTTTCTCTTCATTATTGTTGTACACATTTTTCGATTTGGAAGAAATTTTGTTTGATTAATAGTTTCATATACACATGTGGTCGAAATTTTAAAGATATGAACTATGCCAATTACAAAAAATATGCGTACAGCCCTTTAACTTTGTTTCGATCGACTAGACGAAATACGTATTCAATCGTTAGGTTTTGTTCAAGTGCGTATTACTTAACAATTAATAAAGTATGCATGAAAACGCAAATATATTGTACTTCTTTGCAATCAAACGTTTGACATTGAATGGTCCTCGCAACCATCCACGTGCAAAAAGCCAAATGAGCAACAAAAGTTAGTATAAAGACGCCGAAAGTTAAATACAGTAGAACCTGTATTAAGCGGTCATCCTTGGGGATTTTTCGGGTGACCGTTTTGGTATTTTGTAATCTCTCAAATAAATGTTTTAAAGTATGTCGTTTTATTTACATATGTTATGTATATACGTTTAAATTTGACACGTTATCAACAATTAGCAAACCGCGACGGAGTACAATAAAAAATGTCTGCTTTACTTAATTACTTTGTCCGTAAGAGCAATTTTCTTGACAGCACACCTGATTTAACAGGAAATTTCTTGTTAGTTGTCTTGTAATGCGCACTATATAAAAGTCGGTGTAGATGTTTAATTCCATTATAACTGACACACTGCTTTTTGGAAAGATGGCGTTTACTTACTTAACAATTAGATCAATATTTGTCGTATTTGTACTCTCTGCTTTCCAAAGGTAAGGAGGAAACTAATTTTTATACAATTATATAATATTAACTAATATTTATGCAGTTAGCAGTGGTAATATAATTTAAAGTCAATTTAAGTACAATTATATCTATTGAACTATATCTATTCCTTCCATTACTACAAATTTTATCAGAAATTTTTATCAAATTTCTTCTAATTAAGCGAATGCTAAGCTAATGTTTTGATCGACTAGACAAAATATATATTCAATCGTTAGGTTTTGATCAAGTGCGTATTACTTAACGAATAATGAAGTATGCATGAAACACAAATATATTGTACTTCTTTGCAATCAAACGCTTGACATTGAATGGTCCTCGCAACCATCCCAAGTGCTAAAAGCCAAATGAGAAACAAAAGTTAGTATAAAGATGGTGAAAGTTGTATAAATACAATAGAACCTGTATTAAGCGGTCACCCTTGGGGATTTCTCGTGTGACCGTTTGATACAGGCTGACCGCTTAATACAGGTCTTCAGGAAAATCACCAGACAGGCTACGTGTAATGTTTCATACCACTAAAGTTGAACCAATCGGTATTGTTCTTCAGCTTACATGCCAAATAACAACACTATATAAAACAGTTTTTTTCTTAGTTTGAACTAGAAATTAAAAATAGAATACATAAAAATGTCACTGCTCAAACTACTGAAAAGTAATCAATGGCAAGCGTGTCAACAGAAGAGGTGGTTATGACTTATAAATTCAGTGCATATATATATCCCTTTCTTGGAGATATGTTTTCTTGTCAATGGCCGAAGGGACGTAAGAAAAGTTTAAATTTCTGTTGTAATTCGTCCACACAAGCAGAAAATATTGTTCGCTCTCTTGAGTAATTACAGAAGATAAATACAATATAAAGACATTAATACAATATAAATGACATTAATACAATATAAGTGACATGGTCCTGAAAAAATATTTAATTACATATTTCATTATGAGGTGTTTACTTAAACTGACCGTTTAATACAGTTTCAAAACAATGAAAAATTAAGTCTGGGACATTGAAAGAGATGACCGCGTCGGCGGGTCATAAAGGTGACCGTTTAATAAAGGAGTTATTTGCATAAGCGAATAATAATTTTATTGCTTCCGCGGGTTATTTTGTAGTTTAAATTGTAAATAGGAGATATGTTAATCAGGGGGAAACGAAGAGAGGGTGGGACACACAAGTACTGGGAAAGTTTGTTACTATTTACTCAAAGCAGTCCGCGTGCTAAGGTCATGGAGTCCAAGGTTCATTGCGGAAGCTGCATGAGCAAACAGGCTGTTTGCTGTTTGCTACAGTTATTTGCATTTTGTTCACATGCACATAGTGTGATTCACGCGCACAGGTGTTAGCCCTATAGGTAATGCACAAACAAATCACATATCATTCAGCAGGTGGCCGTCGCCAGGTGAAATTTATCGGAAAATCCACCCTCCCCTTCTTCCCTTTCTCTCTGTCGATTTGCATGTAGTATTTAGACTTGTTTCCGGGGTAGCGTTTTTATCACCCCACCTTTTCTGTGGTATACAGAAAAACTTTATTCGTAAAGATTTTTTGTTTAAATCATGTAAAATAATTAATTTAGATTATGTTATGCTTGTTATTTCTATTTTAATAAATCAGCATGTGCTTTCACACATTGCCAATATTTACCCCAAAGAGAGTACTCTTTAATGTCATGCGCATAGAAAACAGAGCTCAACAGGCCCAAAACCTCAGTTGGATTTCGATTTATTATGATTTAAGCGGAAGCGATAAAGGTCACTTTAATAGTATTTATACTATGAAATTGTCGGGACTTTGCCATATGACCGCTTAACACAGGGTGACCGCTTAATACGGTGTGGCTTAATACAGGTTCTACTGTACGTCACTGAACGCCGATTATATGATAAGAAATAAATCACATGCGGCCAAGATTTATTTTGATTGGTTAATATTGTTAGAAGCCGCGTAGGAGACTAAGAATTGCCGGAAAACTCCCTAACCAAATTCATTCCTCGCTTTAGCTAAATTTATAAATTAATAATTTTATGTTACAAAACATAAATCATAGTTTAAAAATTACTGAGATATGTGTTTCTTCTTTTTAGAAGCGCTATATTTAGATTTTCTGAGCTTAATGATTTTGTGACGAGCGCATTTTGTGGAACTTTGCCGCGTAGTTAGTTTTTTAGAAAACTTGTGTTGATACACTTTATAGTCCCTAATTATGGGAGAGAGGGCTTTCCGCAAACATCAAGGGGATGCATGAGGGGAAACAAAAACACCATGGGAGACTGTATTATTTTCTTGGTTAGACTTTTTCTTGGTTAGACTTTTACATGGTTTTCTTCAAAAATTTATAGTTGTGAATATTGAGAACCTCCTTTTGGTGACCATTGTGGAATAGCATGTTTTATAAAAAATCTTTTTCAGTTTTTCGGCCTATTTGTTGCATAAATTTGAGCCTTGTTTTGTCCTTCTTGTAACTAGTGGTTTCTATCAACCACTACGTACTTGGCAAAGTCCACAAACTTTATATTGTGCAAAGCATCACAGATTCAAAATAACGTTAGGCCTGTTTCAAACGTCAAACTTTACATGTACAAAAAGCATAAAAGACATAAAATAAGATGAACTTCCTCATTATCTTGCGTTCGGTTCACTTGTAAGTTCGACGTTTGAACTTGGCCTAAAATACTGCTATATTGGAACCTGGACTCTATATACATAAACCAGATTTTTCATGAACTTGGTCAATCAAAAGAGAGAATTTTCCAATATATTGTGTCATTGTATAAATCTTTCCTGGATTTAACGATTCATCGATTCATTCTTATAGACAAAATACATATTCTTTGTTTTGTTTTATGCACAATTGTACAACATTGACAGTTTGTCAAACATAACTGAAATAAAAAATGAACATTCTCCATTTATTTAGTATAAAGACTGTGAACTGCAATTCAGAAGATACATGCAAGGGGGTGCTAGACAATTGCTGCAAGTACTGTGATAATCAGGGACAAGTTTTACATAAAGATGACGTTTGTAAAAGCAGAAACAGAAAAGGTAATCATAGAATATGGCTCTATTAGCATTAATGTTATCTATGCCAAAAACAATGTAAAAATATATAAAAACATAAAATACTAACCAAACAATTCCATTTTTAGCGACCTTCTTTGACGGCAATAATATAAACCAGTACGGTATTTTTTACGGGCCATCGCCATCATTGAACACTTTAACAATCTCTTTATGGACTACCGTTTGGTATGACGACTACTACAAAAACAATGCCTTTGTAGCAATGGTATCGTATGCAGATAGTCAGACACATAACGCCTTTGTTCTGATTATTCGCAACTCCTCTTTGGATATTTATATAGTTGGTGTCAAAATTCAGTGAGTATAAAAGCAAATGCGTACACAGATTGAACGATATTATTGTTGGTTACGGTTTCCAAGAACAATTTTCACTAACACAACACAAACATTCTGAAATATTGTTTCCTATCTTATCATATTGCATTAAGCTCTATTTAATATCTCCAAATAAATTGAAATATTCAATATTAAAATGTGTATACTCCAAAGCCAGCAATTTCTGCCTGAGCGTGCTAACACAATCGATTCCACCTTAAATTCTTCATGCACTTTAAAAGGTTATTTGAAAAGCAATCTATTGTGGTTGAAGTTAGAAATGAAGACTTTGTTTATATTAAATAGTCATACAAGCTTGGGCACATGGGGGAATCAAATTCCATGTTTTTAAGGTGGTCTGGGTTTGAAATTTCACGACAAATGAAACGTGGTATGGTCGTGCTTATTAAAAGTAATAAAAAGTTGCTTAGAAATAATTGATAGAGAAATATTTTTGCTGAGAGAACAATGATTTGGGAGGTCTGGCAACCCTCTGATCTCCGGATTGCAGCGCTCCTGCTTGGGAAACGGGCTGCAGTGTAATAGTTGTGAGCCTAGTAACTTATGTTTCAGTTATGTATTAAGGTCAGAATCAATTTATTTCTCGTTCTTCTTTTTAGATCTATGCGTTTTTGTGCACAAGAGGTCATACAAGTATTGACTATCCTCTTGTGTTTAAAGTTTGAAAAAAATTCAAGCATGATTTGCTCTAAGTCCTTAAAGCAATCAAATTGTTTTATACTTCATTCTGTAAGCATCTGTGCTTTAAACCAACCATGCAACTAATTTTAAATAATAGATGCATGATAATTTCTTTCAATTCTCTTGATTTTTATTTTCAGTGTAGGTACATGTCAGCCTGTAACTTATAGATATCAACAAGCTCATGGTTCTTAATTCTAAGACAATTTATTTTACAACAACACATCTTCCAGACTTATGTCTACCTTTATCAGATTTTGCATTTTTTGCCAGAAGTATCTTGCAAATGCTAGGTTGCCAAAAAAGATCTACTCAATACTACACTCCAAGCGTTGTAATTGCTTTTATTTGCGATAATTTAAGTTTCTCGTCTTTATATGTTCTATTTTAGTACTCTTATACTATTTCTTTATTTAACAAATCAAGCAGGACCACTTTTAAAAAAGAAATGTGCACTTAACTTTATTTTTTTGCACTGTATTTCTTTTTTTCACTGGTCTAAGCCAATCATAACTGAAAATAGAATGTTAAGTGCATTATAAGTTAAGAAAGTGAGGGGAATCTACAAACTGTTACAATAGAAACGGAAACCGCATAGTTTATTATGTATTTACTGAAGTCATTATGCAAAATAATATAACTTGCGTTCACAAAAGTTCAAAGAACTTGACAGTTCTGCATTTTTTATAGTTTCATAGGGTTTATTAATTATCGGCTAAAGGTAAAGAATTTATAAGTGTTGTACACACTAAATTTTATCTTGCATTTATTACGCAAATGTTTTATGAAATCAAAGCGATTTTTACTGAGTTATAACAACAAAAATATAGTCAGAGTTTCCATACGTTTCAATGAACATGTCATTTTCATTTACATTTAATGCAAACATTAATACGATCATCATTTTGATGCACAAATTATTACAATCAAATGTAAACGCAAAACAATACTTTTCGTGCAGGCTCGAATTTTCGGCACAACCTGTAGTATGGTAGAACGTAAATAATTTTTTTGAGTTTAAACTGTTTAACCTAGATAAATGAATTATTGATAAATTTTCTAGTTTTAAAATACTAAAATTACACGAATAAACATCAGAAGGTTTATTAATTGTTAATAACTAATAGAAGTTTGGAATAAGAAAAGTTTGCCCTGTCTAAATTTGCAAATAATGGGTTCTTTTATGTATCCAAAAATAGAATCATATTCTCATGAAGCACTTTAACATTGTTCTTTAAAGGACAGGAGTCAATGACCTCCTTGATGGAAAGCCACATCATTTGGCTGTTACTTGGGAATCATCCAGTGGACAAATAAATGTGTACAAGGACGGCATGATACGTAGTACTAAAGTTGGTGGAAAGAGTAAAAGTCTCAAAGCTGGTGGACAATGGGTGATAGGGCAAGATCAAGATTTTGTTGGAGGAGGATTTGAAAAAAATGATGCTTTTAAAGGTGAAATTGATTTCGTGTACGTTTGGAACGAGAAACTTACGTCTAGAGAGATTAAGTTTTTGGCAAAGAACTGCAATTCAGAATTGGATGGGTATATTATTGCCTATGATGATTTCAAGTTTTCAAAAGCAACAAACCTCAGAAAACCAACATGTGCAAAGACTTTCTGAATAAATTTAAATTTAAAGACAATGACAAAGCCATAATGAAAACATGTCAAAATTTCAATTTAAAAATTAGTTAGTAATGAAGTGTTAATTGCAATTCAGAATAAATTTAGTGAACTCCAATATAAAATAATGAACACTAAAGCATTCATTGAAATACCTGTTATGACAGGCTCTCCAATAATTGCTTATTGTTTCATTGTTGATTTATTGAGTATCACTTAGAATAATTTTCTCTGAGAATGATTTTCTAGATTTTTCGTTCGAAAACGTAAGACGTAAGACTTTCTGGTTACAGCAGCTTACTATGTCTACATTCTAGTAGTTACCATGTCTTTTTTTGTGAAATGACCATGTTTTTTTAAGTCAGTCAAATGATACACTGTTTTACCCAAATTGAAATTAAATTTGCTGTTAATTCTACTCCACGCTGCTCCGTTGTGTTTTTTTTTATCAAAATTAATGCCGACAAAAGAATTTGTATTAGCGGATCTAAAATTTCTGGTAAGTCATAACACAAAAACGTGATTCAATTTTTAATAAGAAACAATTTACAGCTAACACCATTTTTTGCTGCATGCTATTATTTTGTGCACTTCACTAGGTAGGTCGATGGAGCTAGATTATTAAATACCCGCCTACTTTTCAAACACTTAGTCATTATCTTGATACAATTATACGAATTGAGAAAAAAACGTCTTATATATAAGAAATCACAGTTATCTGAAAAAGCTTTGATAAGATATGTAGTTTCGTTATACCATTATATGATTTTATACATTTCTCAATTCCATCATCATTATCATCTGTCTTAATTCCTATGTCTTGAATTTTTAGATTCAGTTGACTAATTTTTAAAGTTAATTTATCAACTGTAGTTTTAGATGTTCTGTGCTAGTCATATATTGAACTTCTTGATTGAACGCATGATAGTTTCTCTTGCGTTAAATCTCAATTTGTCCTTTGTTCCAATTTTATTGTTTTACAACCTCTTTCATTTTTCACAATCTCTTCGAAAAGTGCCATTTTTGTTTTAGAAACGCAACAGAAAAAATACGATGGTGGCATATATTATGTTATGTGACCATAAACTTTAATTATAGCTTGTTTGGGTGAACAATAATCAATGCAATTATACTACGATTTATTTTACTTGTATTTAGTTAATTTCAGTAATTTGTTGCATTGTTTATTAATTGCTTTCTTTCCTCCAATCAAAGTAATCTGATGGAAAATTAAAAGTTCTCAAGTTTTTTTAAGGTTTGAAGTTAATCTGAAATAATAGAATTCTTACCATAGTCAATATTCATTAGTCTCAAATAAAGACCCTTCACATGCAAAAAAGTATGTTTTCATTGAATGAAATCTGCATAATATCATTCAGTTAATAGCTATTTGTAATAGTTAGGTTAATTTAATTGCACGTTAATTTTTCCATGTTTTTTCAAATTAAGGAAACTAGTTACGTTTTAGTAGTTGCTATTGTCACTTTGTTTTTGCAAACTTTGTGTCAAAACTTTGAGATAAAAATCAATGTACGACAGCACATTTAACTTATTTTGGTTTAACTAATACAGTACAAATCCAGAAGCACAGGACTGTCCATCTGATAAAACTGTTGTGTATATTGCTTTCAGAAAATTAAAAATTTATTTATGTAGGTTTTGTTTTTTGGGACCCTCTGACCCCTATCATTTTGTGACCATTTAATCGAAGAGCAGCCCTTGAGTACGCATTACGTATCTTTTTATTAAGTAACACTTGTTTAAGACTAAGATCATAATATAAAATAAGTTCTTAAATTATACGACCCAGAAATTGTTTAAACCTCTGTGTATTTTTCGAATGCCCTAGCTTATATTTTAAGTCGCGTAACTTTTGTCACAGGCTTTGCATCAAGAAAAGTGACGTCATTTAGATATTTTGCAGCTGTTAATGTTGTTTTTTTGTCATCGAAAAACCATTCAATTTGCTATACATGTGTCATAAAACAGTTTCCTGACGTGTCTGAGATGTCGTTCACACAACTTAGAAATTATCATGCCTATTACATGTTTTATATTTCATGCATAGATGCTTTTATGTGGTAGAGAACAGTCCATGCTATTTATTCTTACTTTTTTCAATTTCATTTGAACAAGCTTTGTTTTTGACGATGTTGTGTTTTTTTGCAAACAATGTTGAAAAATAAACGTTTATCTTCAGCACGTGCATTGATTATAAGCAAGCTCGTCTTGAATTGGTGGGTCAGGGGGTATCAGAACCTCCCAATCTTCGTTCTTTCGGCAAATATTGTTCATCTATCGGTAAATTTTCACAAAATTAAATAATAAGAAAATGAGATGAATTAATGGAGAGCGTGTTAAATACTAAATATTGTTTTGAATTTAAAAACTTATACATTGAGGTCAAGGTTAGTTTTGTTAAGGTGGAGTGCTTCTTTGATTTTAAGGGAGAATGTGGCGTCTACAGTGTCGATGATTTTGAAGCAAGAAGGTGAATAGTTGGTTTTACATGAGTGATATTTAAGAAGGTGTTGGTAGATATGAGAGTTTGTGTCTGTTGTGTATGTTCCCTGATTCTGGTGGATAAATGAGGGGAAGTTTTGCCATATATCGGGAATTACATCCCACGCAATTGAATTCATATACCACCATCATTTAATTGAATCAGTGATTGGGTTTATGAATGAGAAGAAGTTTTTGATTTTAAATGATGTGAAAATTAGTCGAATGTCAATATCTGTACAGAAACGTTTCATAATGTTCGTAAGTCTGCGCTGTGTGTGTCGTAAGTAATGTCCGATGCATGGTAGTTTAAAGTATTGAGTTGTCATTTTCGTTTGCGTTAGTGGTGGTCGTCGTATCAGGAGCTTAAGTGCCCAGTTTGAGGTTATTGTTATTTTTGTTGTCGAGATGTCGTTTTATGGTTGCGTTGATAAAATTTAGTGGGAAGAAGTTTCGTAAAAGAATAGATGTGATGTTTTTTATGTCTCTTTGAAAGCCATTGGTCGTATCGCAGAAATCTATCGCTGTCTACTTTCAGCAATTTTCGAATCGTCATCATACAAAGGTAAACGGTTGAATATTGCCTTCTGTAAGGCTACTGCAGAACACGAAATCCGTCAATAGATACCAAAATTGCATCTTTTTGTTATAAAGGACGTTTCGTAAGCAAATGCGTTTACTGTGTCAAGGTCCCCCTTGAAACGACGATTTTTGGAAAGTACTACATTTGCAACGTTTATAAATTTTGTGTATTGAATACAAACTTTATGAATAAATGCCTTTTCACTATTTTAAAAATAATTTCAAGGTGAAATAGTTGGAATGTTATTAAACAAAAAGAATGATATAGCATAATGCTATAACCAACAACTACAAACAATAACGACCTTATCTAACAACATTTGAGAAATTAACCTTCCACTCCTGTTCCTTGTAAACGAGACAAGTCTATTCAAAAGCAGAGAGCCTTATACGCTACAAGTCCCGGGGTTGTGATTGGTATAGGAGAGTTAAAAGGTGAAAGGTTTATCATAGATTAATCAACTGAATTTGTTTCGAAGCATGCTAAACAGCTCATATGGACAAAGCTCGAATTCCATATTAAATAAACAGTAACTTAATCCTGTGTTAATGTTAGATAATACATCATTGCCCTTCAGTGAAAGCATACCGCTTTCCACTGGAAAAGAATGAATCTAATATCGATGTTAAACATAGATTGTTTCAAGCATCCCCCTTGCCCATATGTATAAGTATAACCACAAGGTGAAATAGTTGGAATGTTATTAAACAAAAAGAATGATAGCATAATGCTATAACCAACAACTACAAACAATAACGACCTTATCTAAAAATATTTGAGAAATTAACCTTCTTCTTTGTAAACGAGACAAGTCTACTCAAAAGCAGAGAGCCCTATACGATACAAGGCCCGGGCTTGTGATTGGTATAGCAGATTTAAAAGGTGAAAGGTTTATCATAGATTAATCAACTGAATATTCCTGCTCATTTTTGTTTGGATGCATGCTAAACAGTTCACATGGACAAAGCTCGAATTCCATATTAAATAAACAGTAACATAATCCGGTGTTAATGTAATGCGCACTTCATAAAAGTCGGTGTAGGTGTTCAAACCATTATAACTGACACACTGCTTTTTGGAAAGATGGCGTTTACTTACTTTGCAATTAGATCAATATTTGTCGTATTTGTACTCTCTGCTTTCCAAAGGTAAGGAGTAAACTAATTTTTATACAATTATACTATATTAACTAATATTTATGCAGCTAGCAGCGGTATTAAATTTAAAGTCAATTTAAGTACAATTATATCTATTGAACTCTATCTGTTTCTTCCATTACCATAAATTTTATCCGAAATTAATTTAAATTTCTTCTAATTAAGCTAATGTTAAAACAAATATCGTTCCATAAGATAGCTAGCAATTTTAAGTTTTTAACATTCACCTTTACCGTTCATATTAATTTTATTATTTGTATGTTTTGTGATAGAACACAGGATTACAATAATTGTCACAAAGTTTTGTAAGGATGTTGACCACGAAAATTGAGGTGTTTTTTTGTCTTTAGAGTGTTTATGCTCATTTTCAAGCAAAGTCATAAAACAGAAAGCAAATTAATTAAAAACAAGAGTTATTGTACATGTGGTCGAAATTTAGTTTTCGAATAATCTGCTGTATAAACATAATTTCTTGTGAGCTAAAGGAATGTTCTTTCCGGTTCTTTCACTCGTTTCGGCTCATGCATAAACAAAGCAATGGATGTGAGGTGTTTCTGTGAAGATGTCGCTGGTCGTACTTTTATTTTTATTTGCATATATGAACAGTTTCTGAGCTTTTTAACATTTTGTTACTCGCTAAACTCACTGCTTGATTGCGTTGGCGACTGAATATAAATATGGCAACCATTCCTGCTTTCTCAGAACATGCCGTGTTAGCTCGTATTCATAAAATTCGCTTTCTCTTCATTATTGTTGTACACATTTTTCGATTTGGAAGAAATTTTGTTTAATTAATGGTTTCATATACACATGTGGTCGAAATTTTAAAGATATGAACTATGCCAATTACAAAAAATATGCGCACAGCCCTTTAACTTTGTTTCGATCGACTAGACGAAATACGTATTCAATCGTTAGGTTTTGTTCAAGTGCGTATTACTTAACAATTAATAAAGTATGCATGAAAACGCAAATATATTGTACTTCTTTGCAATCAAACGTTTGACATTGAATGGCCTCGCAACCATCCACGTGCAAAAAGCCAAATGAGCAACAAAAGTTAGTATAAAGACGCCGAAAGTTAAATACAGTAGAACCTGTATTAAGCGGTCATCCTTGGAGATTTTTCGGGTGACCGTTTTGGTATTTTGTAATCTTTCAAATAAATGTTTTAAA